AAATCTTAGATTAAGAAGTACAATGAATTACAACCAGATGGCAAGAATATAGTGTAACTTAGTCCGGCGCATATGATGTAATATGTAATAGATACCGTGGTTATATATGTATGAGGTATTATTGCATCAATCGAGACGTTTGTTTACTGTATGCCATGTGGTTTGTACTGCACACCAAGACCTCGCTGCTAAGTAGGCGTCCTTGCTTGCGCGCGCGTCATGCCTGCTAACAAGTCTTTAGGAAAAAGTGTTTAATAAGAAAACCGGACAGTAAAAATCTTTATTATACATATTTAAATGATTATTATAGAGAAATATTGTTTACGAATACAATGCAGATGTGTCTTTTAAACTGTTTTATTTAGCTCACCCCGTTTGTTTTTTTATTTATACTTGGGTCAAATTTAGTCATTCAAATTTCACTCTCTTCCTGTCAACCGATTAATCTGAAATTTTGTATACATTTTGGATTTTGGTGACAATACAATTATGTTTATTCATTATCATTATAAATCCAAGATGACGGCCGCTACAAAATGGCGGATAACTTAAGTTTTATCAATCCCATCAACATATGGGTATCAAATGAAAGGTCTTAACAAGTACCAACAAACACTAAATGAATTAAACAGAATACGAAATAAAAACAATTAACTAGAAAATAAAAATTGGTAATTTTTTTAATTAATCTATTTTATTATTCTTTGCAAGTTTATGTAAATTTACTAAAACCAGAAAATATGAAATGATACTGTGATAGCATACTATGCTTGCAACCGTTTAACTTAAAAAATTTATTACCTATTTTTTTAATAATACACTTTAAACTGTTTAAAACAATAACTAAAATAGTTAATTATATTTTGATTACAATTTAACGTTTCCAATGAATTACACCTTCTGTGACCACAGATAGTATAATTTTATTTAAACACGCGTAAACTATAGAACTACACAAAACAATATAAAACTACTACAGATAATAACAGAAGTTTTCATTACAGAATTACTAGTCTACAGAAAACCCGGAAGTTAAAATAGCAATCAGATTTCTTGTTTATTTTTGTGGGGTATATGCATAACTTTGAATTATCATTAATTGCATGCTAGAAGGCTAAACGTACGTAATGTTAGCAAAGACCTCAAAGTGTTTTGCATATAATAAAAATAATATATTTATAAGGCACTTATATATTGCTTGATATAGTATGAAATTCCGTATCATCTATGTAACAATTACATATATGTGTCTGATTGTCTAATCGATTTAATGTCTTATAGTGAAGTAGTTTATCGGAATCATTCGTATACTTAGTATTAATTATGCTCTGTTAGGTGTAACTTAAGACACTATTGCATAATTTTTACAAAATTTGTATTGTAAGACTGATATACTATACTAGAATTAAATGCAATGAGAGGCGTTATACTTTAAATGATTTATAAGTTGAGAAAAATCTAAATTGTAAAGTTACGTAGTTAAGTAAGTATTGTTTAGGACAGTATTACACGTGTAAATAAAACACTTGTAACGGTTTAATGCGCGAAATATATTAGTTCACTTACAGCCCAATGTTTTGATTTTGTCGTGGTCACGGGACAAATCAAAACTGTTGATGTCGAGAGATGGCACTAGCGTAGCATATTTGACATTGACAATCAAGCCACCCACCTCACGCCCCCTCGTAAAAATGCAAAGCGTTAAGCCGTAGTTAAAATAAATTATAAATAAGTGAGCTTATACATTTCGTGTTTTAAACCGTTAAAAGTATTTAATTTAAAGACTTGTTTGTATTTAATTACAACTTAAATATATGACTTCAATTTGTAGCGACATGTTGGGCAAATATTTTGCAAGTGACTTACTTATATAACGGTAGTTATTTGCAATCGTTTGGCTGGAAGGTACTTGTCTGCTTAATGTTACATTAAGCTATGCAAGAACTAAAGACTTAACGATGACTTGAATATTGCAACACATAGGATTACATGTTTAAACATACTTTGTGTGTACAAAGTGTGGTATATATTTATTTATATATTAAAATTAAATAAAACCACAAAGTATTTACCTATTAGAAAATTAATTTATTATTAAATACCTCTTGTGATTGATTAAATGTCTTAGGTACAGTTCTGGGTTCCAATTGCGGGAAACAATTTATTGTTTTGGTCAGGAAGGGCACAGAAGTCTGATACACTAATGCCTGTAAATAAAACCGATCAATGAAACAGACACTGAAATGTGTTCGCCCCATGCCTCTCGAGGGGCAAAGAGACGTCATGTTTTTATATCACACTATCATTACTATACTAGCGTGTACTATAATACTGTGTCAGGTTATTTTGGGCATCCAAATTCGTTTTTGAATCTTGCAAGTTAATCTTAAAAGTGTCGTGTAATTTACGCAGGCATTATCTTTTACTTCATTTGAAGAGGAATCAATCTTTGATAAGTATTTTTTGGGTATCTTGAACCGTACGCAGTGAAAAACCACAAACATAATTTCCCCGCTTTGTTTACGGCTGTTTCTCCGTTTCTATTAGTCGCAGCGCAATACTTTTTAGCCTATAGCTTTCCTTGATAAGCGCTTTAACCAACACAAAGAATTTTTCAACCACCACCAATAGTTTTCCACCGATAGTTCCCTAGATTAGCGCGCTCAAGCAAACAAACTCTTCAGCGACTTGTTTATCGACGCAAAACAGTTATAATTTATTGGGCAGTCCAAATTCTAAAGAACACGCATTAGGTAATGATATAATCCAAGAATGTGGGAAACGGAGTCATTTAATTCCGTATAACAATGGCTGTATTGTTACAATTGACTTTTTTATGTGTCGCAGTACTTACAGTGCTGTAATTAAATAATTAATTATTAACCATCTTTGTTACTATCTGCGAGTATTCTTAAAGTCTTAACGTTATTACTATAGGTTGGTAGCTAAGGTTGAAATTACATTGCGCGAGAGATTCATGTATTAAAAGGTAAAACAATTCGACGATGATGTGTAGCGAATTGGTTAGAGCAGGACACGGAACGCTGTAATTGCCGGTTCACGTTCCGCCGATGTCGTATTTCTTTCTAGATAGATTTTTAATTTATATAATGCCATCATGTGTGAATCAAACACTTTTAACGGTTTAAACTCGAAGTTGTTATCTTATAACACGAATCTGTTATTACAATTGCTATATAAAGCACTCGAAGCGTAACTACGTAAAATTGGTTAGATAATACAATTCTCGTTTGAAGCCGTTAAAATCGTATTTTATAAGCTTACAGTAGTAGACATTTAAATAAGACACTTTAATGGTTTAAAACTCGATATGTTTTAGTTAATTTATCTACAATTTATTTTAAATACGGCCTAGTTACGGATACTTTGCTGCAGCCGTGGTCATGTGACCATGCGAAAATAAAACTACCATACATTTCGAAGAAGTACTGTGAGTTTCGTTAAAAGAGGTTATACTGTTTTTGAAAATATATTTTTATTATTATGTCACACGTTTTGATAGCATAACAATTTAAGTAATAAGTTGCGATGTATTATTCTCTGGTCTTATAATGTATGATCGGTCAACGACCTCAGTCCACGATGCTTTTTGAAACCACTGTACAGTAACAAAAGTTCTTGTAGGTTATAGATCACATTGTATATACATGAATGTACCGCATGATACAAGGATTCTTATTGAGACTATTATAGATTTTGAAATACCTACGTTTCTTTCCAGAAATTCTATCACCACTGCATAATAATTTTTCTAAATTCCGTAATATAAAAAGAAACCTTAATTTTCTTAAACTATTATCATAAATTTATAAAATAGTATTAAACAATTAAATGTAAGTATACAAAGAGCTGGTATGTACAAGTTTATTTTTTTATATTGAAGTTAAAGTTATGTCGATATTACCTACCTTCCATGTACCCTACCCCCTCAAAATAGTCCATACGTTTGTGGTCCATGTATTCCATGTTTTCGCCAATTGTGGACTACCAATCGCCTGTACATTTTTTTTATATATTTGTATTTGTCTTCTCTTTATGCACAATAGCTTCCTTTTTGGATACGTTAAATTTGATAGCCTTTTACTTAGTTACATTTAGCTGATATAAATTACAAAAACCATCATGGCTGACAAAGAGTATCTGACATATATTTGAATACATCAATATGCATACGTACAACAATACCATATTGAACTAAGTGAATTATTCAATACTTAGGCATACCAAGACATACATACATTCAAAATACAATAAATACAGAGAAGTACACAATACATATAACATTTTTAACAAACGCGAAATAAGTATATTAAGTAGTTAAAACTGCTGTTGAGCGTTCGAGTCGTGTTTAATATCAATACGCATTGAAACAATACTTTTAATGGTTTTAAACGTGATGTATATTAGTTTTAACTTATTTTAACTGCTGTCCGACGTTTCGGGAGATTTGTAGCAGTCGTAATCACATTTTATACAGTTAAAACTTAAACAACATGATTAATTTATTTTGGGTTTAGACGATTAAGACGGCTTAGTTTATGTAATTACTTAATTCTTAAGATAATTACATAAACTAAGATTGCCAGTAAATACGGAGTTGAGCGTGAGAAAGCAAGCATTGTCTGAAAGAGATTTGAGATCACAAACTTTCCTTTGATACCTGTAATTTTGACCACGCGCACCTATTACCATACAAACATTTTGATTGATTATTTCTTTACTTTCTCCGCGATCCGATTTAACTTTTGGACATGGTCCGTAGATAAGGTTTGTTAATTTCGTCTGCTATCGGTGAGCAATCGAAAGAAGTGAGATTGCGGACACGTAGTTCGCGTTCTTTCGGCGCAGCGCTCAGTCGCGAGCCGCCGCCGCACCAGTCACGCCGGTCCATTTGATACTTGGAGCAGCAAAAAATATGGCTGCTAACGTGTACGACTAAACGACGCAGTCGCGAGTGACCTCTGCGCGGGCGGACAAAGATGAGCGAGGAACAGTGTGACTTCAACTCGTGGGAGCTGAACGGGCTCAACTCCCTCGATCTGTGGGACTACACCGTGGAACTGGAGTGTCTGCAAGGCACCGAAGGTTAGTCACGTCTTGCGCAAATTAGAGGGGCTCTGGACTGAGGTAGATGCCTTGTTGCGTTCACCGGCCGATTCGCAATGCACAATGAGACCACAAATTGCTACGAGGAATTCGTCTGGCTCCGTCGTGGTGCGGTTGTTGCGATCGTTTTTTGTCTTACTCTTGATTACCTTATCTAATGCTATCGAAAAGTTTTTAACAAGTAATGGTTAATTTCCTAAACACAAAACCTGACTCTGGACAACCGACGGTCTTCCATCTAAAACTTTTAAGAATAACAACTTTAATAAACGAGTACTCTTGCGCAGTTCCGTGAAGAAGTATATGAAACAATTTAAATAGTAATGACAACTACGAAAAAAAATTACCGTACAATTACTACTTATTTTGTATAATTCCAACCAAGCTATTATTTTTGACAACATTACGATTTAGACATGTAATTTAACTAAGGTATGTAATTGAGATATAAATTTAAGTTATCACCATAGTTATTTAAAGCATCTAGTTTGTGTCTTTATTAGTTATTGTGAGTATTGGTTTTAATGCGTAATAAACAAATACGTTGGGTAGTTGTGACGTGAGGTTTGGTAAACCGAACCTTTTTCGTAAACTACTACATTGAATACACCACCAGGCCGTTATGGTGGAAAGGCTTTAACTGTTTGTGTGAATACCTAATCCACGTCCATGTCGGGCAATAGTGACATGGGGAGTGTGGTAAATCGTATAGCCGACCAGAAACACTAAACACACCAGCCCTCTACGATGCTTTGAGGGAGCCCTAGGAACACGTTTGTACGACTCCAAAGCTCCCAGCACCAATGCTCATTTCAGATGGTGAAAAACGTTACAAGTGATGACCTAGTACATTAAGGTGGTCAGGTTCTATGCATCATTGGTTAGAATTTGTTACTTAATTTCTCGTGATTTAATTCAGTAGAGCTGGTAGACAGTCACGTGCAACAGCTATGACGTCCGATTGAATAAGATACCCAGCGTCAATAACGACATATTTTTTTAATAGCAGATGGTAGGTGACATACCCCAACCATATAACATCTACACAAGTGTGCTGTCGACCTATTTTAGTATTGTTTATTCGGAAACCCACAGGCTGAAACCGAAACGCGAAACGTTACGGCTTTTTCGTCTGTGGGCGGTTTGAATTTTATATTCCTAGCATCCATTTAATATACAGATTTCCAAACGAATTCCAACATGTTTCAGAAAAATTATAAATTGAAAAATAAGAAACATCTTGAAGCCGGTGGGGTTCGAACCCGTTGATTATTAGCCATACATTGCTACCATTCGACTAACGAACCCGTTAATATACATATATTATAACTGGCCAGTAGTAGAAGTTACTAATTTATCCCACAGGACCATTAAATCTTTCTGGAACAATTCTCATCAACGATACTAAAATACTACGTTGAGAATATCAAGAAGAATACATGTTTATATTCACTTTGCACTTAACGATATATGCATTTGATTAAAGCGGGGAGGTAATTAGGTTCCCTGATAAGCCACTGCATCAATTAAGATAACAGTAATTGTACGAACTAATGAAGTGGCGATATTGTCAAACTTGGCAAATATTTACAAAACTAAGCGTTGTTACATGTTCTGACTTATAGTGTTTAGGCCATTAATGTGAGCAATGAGGGTAGATACAATTAATTGTAAATACATAAGCCGTCAAGTTTAATCGTGTGCAGTTTCAGTTTCAGTCTGTGGTCGATAGCGCAACTTGTTAACATGTAGGCTGGGGTATTATATTAGATACTGAAGAGCTTCCTGCATGATTGAATTGATATTGAATTATTTAATTGACATAAGAAAATTTAAATTATAATTCGATTTTAAATTTAAAAAAACAATTACAAAACGGGCAGGACTTGAACCGGTATCGACAGCGATTCGCGCTCTTGCTTTAACCAATTGCGCTACCGTGTCGTAATTTTTTTTTTAATTTGAAATTGATTTGCAATTTATAAAATGACAACATGTACATATGAAAAATATTAAAGTTTTCAAAAGCAAATTCACCCATTTTAAATGTGTAAACATTACGTTACGTATTACCTCAAGGAAATACAAAAACGAGAATTTATATTTAAAATTCGGCAGTGTGAGGTTTCAGCATTAAAATTAAAATAATATTTGGCTGTGAGTGGATAATCTTAAACATTAAGGTAATTTGATCGATGGCAACGATAAACCGGTTTTAAATTGTAGGCACTTATTTACGTGGGCACTCGTATTGTTTGTTTTTTTCTTTAATTACCTTTAACAATATTTCAATGGATATAGATATTATTTAAGAAGTAACAAAAACATCATCGTATACCTATTATTATAATTATTATATGTAGGTCGTTCGAAATGTGTTTAATTTAGTGAATTAAATCAGTTTAAATAAAACACACAACAACTAATTTGTTCCAGTGACTTTTGCTACAAAGCATCCGGGCCGTCGGGTCGTAGTAACACATAATTTGTAAACAAGTTTAACTGTTGTTTTATTAACATGTTTCGCGTTTTAAACCGTTAAAGAATTTTATTAAATGTGTACTACTCGCGTGAACTACAGACAGTATTGAATTACATTGGTTTTTTATCATATTTGAGGTTTAAAAGGTCCCGACCAAGAATTTAACAAATATGGCCATAAATTTGTTTTTTAGTTAGTTTACAATTCAGGTTACCTTAGGAATGTTTAAAAATAAAAATTAATGTTGATTAATTAAATAATTTACTATCAAACCTATGAATGAATAAAATCCTCCTATAACCTATTTTCGTGGAGCATACACTTTTTGTGTCCGTTCCATGGCTCGAATCTCTTACAGTCAACTACATAATTACACATTGGCGCTCATATTTTCCTGTGATACGTATAAAACGACAAATCATTATAAATAATATGAGTAGTTAGCTTGAGTGAAACACAAAACGAGAACACTCGTCGATGTAAAACTTGGAATAAATTAGTTGAAGTTAAGAATGGTTGACAGAAGACATAAGGATATATTTAGGGGATTACGATATAAAAAAGAATAGGAAGTACTTGAAGATACTTTTTTAATCCTGTCACACTATTTCCGTTGTCGTTTACAGTGTGAGTGGACGCTGACCTTTTTAAGAGTGTAACGACCTTTTAACAACTCATACGATGGAGACTATCAAGAAGTCTATCGTATGAGTTAACAGTTAACCTCCACTATATTATATTTTTAGGGTATAGGTAGAAGACAGTAAAAAGGCAAGTTAAGTTAGGAAAAAACTTTTTAATTTTGTGTTAATTACTGTCTATAGTTTACGCGAGTAGTACACATTTAAATAAAACACTTTAACGGTTTAAAACGCGATATATTGGTAGTAACTAATATGTCGCGCTTTAAACCGTTAGTGTTTTATTTAAATATCGTGTTATTCAATCCATACTCGAGCTGAAAAATTTGTTTGAAAGCTATAATTTCAGGAACTATTGGTTCGAGAAAAGCATATTACTGTGTTGGTTAGACCATTTATCAAGAAAGAGCAGGTCAGCTAGTAACAATGATAAATGCATCTGATTCCAAATCTACAAAGTAAGTAAGTAGTTTTTGGGTAGGGCTTTACACTATTAAATAAACCCAAGATCCTACCCTACCATTATAAAGCCTAACAATACGACAAAATAAAAAACCACTAACCTGGATGTTTTACAACGCTTGGAATTCACAATACGAGTACGCTACACAAAACGCGTACTAATATCTAGAGCGAGAAGTGTTCAAACGAACTGCAAATAAAAAAAACTCAATTGTTTTGATTGCGTGATCTTTTGTTTTTATATCTTCTCATCATCGACCAATTTAATAGTGTACAGAGGAATACTTGAATTTATGAAGAACTTTCTAGAAGATTATTTATACTTTAAAGATATTTCATTAAATAGCATACTTGTGTAGTTTAAACCAATAGTACACATTTAAATAAAACACATTAACGGTTCAAAACACAATATATATTAGTTAAACTTGTTTGACTTGCAGCTAACGTGATCCGAAACGGCCCATAGTTAAAATCGTTTTTTAAACAGGTTCAACTAATATATATCGCGTTTTGAACCGTTAAAGTGTTTTGTTTAAAAGATATTACATTCATAACTGCAACTGTGTCTCTGGTGTAATGGTTGGTTTACTCGACTGCCAGAGACGAAGTCCAGGGTACCAATTCTTATGATAGCTTGTTTGTATTGAATGTATTACTTTAGTACTGAAATAATAATATATTTTTTTGAATTAATAATAATCGTTAACCGATTTTTCATCAGTTAATAAATATCCTGTGTTCCATTGTGTAACATTTCTTTGGAATTTAAATTTATTTTATATTTTAAATGTTAATTGTGTGGTACTAACCAACGTATACATTAGTCATCAAGTCATTATAAGCGTTAGTTCAACTGACCTTATTAAGTAACAAACATTTTAAGTTTTACGTTTCGTTTCTCCGACAAGGCTGTTCGTTCTGGCCTTTCAAATAAAAGGCGTATGAATTCTTTGATAAGAGAAAACGATGTTTTTGTAACTAAATGTTAGAGGTATTTCTTAAATACAAGTGTAATATATTAAGTGATTTTTTTTATAATAGAACGCTTATAGTAATCTCGCTTCTCCTAAAAGGGCGGACACATTTTAGTGTCCGTTTCTATTATGCCATTTTATTGGGAGCGACTGATTAATTAGACCTTCATCCTCTACCCAAACGAAATTATTAGATATGTTTCCCCGGGAATAGTGCAATGTGTTAACCATATAGCCATGGCGTTTGATTAACACTGAATTTGCTCTGACTTGTGTTTCTGACATGAGTTCGATTCCCGCCTACATCTACCTTATATATATATCAACCTTATTCAAATAACACGAGAGAATTATAAATATTCAAAGTTTAACTCTAAGTCAATGTTTATTGCGCAGCCAAGCTGCAGACGTGGAAAAACTTCTTTAATGAGAGAAACTGAAGTACTTTCAAAGACAACAATAGTGACCGCACTAACGAGGCCCTTTCTCGTCCACAGATTTGCAGTTAGCGGCAGAACTCGGAAAAACACTTCTAGAAAGAAATAAGGAACTTGAAACCGCTCTTCGTGATCTACAAAATGTCATTGAAGACCAGAAGCAAGAAATCGAGGTAATCAAAACCTAAATCAATCAATTACTAAAGTGATATCAGATATTAATCCGCGTAATATCAACTTACTCTCTATATAACTTATCTTAAAATAAGCCCTAAAATCCCATCATAATTAGGTTAGCCGTTTTTAGTGTATAGAATTTCAAAGTACAGTTAGTATGAGAGACAGTTGATGTTTCTCAAACTTTTTAAGTTGATTGCATATCTTTAACTAAAAAAATATACGTTTTATTCAATATATAAATCATTCTTCGCATTTATTTGTCGCAGCGAAATACAATCATATAGATAGGTACTATGTACCACACTGAAAGAATCATTTTTTTTTCGTTTTAAATTAGGCTAATAGTTTTAGGCATGAGCGCTTGTAAATAAACAAACTCTTCAGTGTTATTTTACTATAGAGATTTTCTATAAAAGACTATGTTTAAAATTTAAAGGTCTACAATTTAATAAAATACGTAAAAAGTAATGGAAAGTCGTAAATACCTTACTTTTTTTCAACAACTGAGATAGGTGTAAGAAGTTATAGAACTGTCACATTTTGAAAACTCTTGCAGCAGACAAAGGTCAGATTACAATTGGTTTAGACCTTAAATCTGATCTACTCTTCTTATCCGCTTCCAGTACTTAACAAAACAAACTGTCGCCCTACGGGAAGTCAACGACTCAAGACTGAGAATCTACGAACAACTGGAGGTGAGCATCCAGGACTTGGAACGCGCAAATCACAGACTCGCGGTCGACCATGCAGCCGACAAGAAACACATTAAAACGTAAGTTCAATGTAATTCCCTTTTCATTTAGTTTTTATGGTGCGAGCCTTTGATGTACCTCTATCTATGTTATTATAGAACCTCTGTACTACATTATATACTTGTATTAAGTGTCTTTTATAAACGATTACTTAGTAACTTTCAATGTCGTTCAATGTCGAATTTTAGGAGTTTTGGTTTATAACTAAAAAAGAAATTAAGGTTTTGAAAAGAAAAATATGTAAATATAATCAACATTTTTACATATTTTGACAACCATGAAATAGAGATAAATTATTGTTAACACTATAAACGACATGTCAATTTGTTCGTCACATTTAAATCCAATCCTTGGTAAAGAGATACCGTACATTTAAATCAAACACTCTTAGCGGTTTAAAACGCGAAATATATTCGTTACCTTATTTTTAATTTGGTCCGATGTTCGTGCTTTGAAGCAGTCGTGGTCACGGGGGTACTGAATATTGAGGGTGCTTCTAATGTCAAAGTCAACTTAAAAATAAGTTATCTAATACATTTCGCGTTTAAACCGTTAAAAATGTTTTATTTTAATATGTACTACTCGCGTAAGCTACAGGCAGTACTCCATACACATTTATTTTGATTGAACTTGTTTAATTAATAGCCTTTGCGGAAACATCGAAACCTTGGAAGGCAAATGTGAAGAGCTTCAAAAGACTGTGGACGACCTGAACGGCCAGCTGGAAATATTCCGACGGAGATCGGAACGGAAGCCGGAGAGCGAGAAGCCGAAAGAAAAACCCGCAGAGGCCCCAAACACCATTGTCAAGAAGCCAGAGACGAACGGAACGCCGCTCAAATTAGTCCCGTTGCCTGAACTCACAAAGGAAGACGAGGATTTGTTAAGGCTTAGCGATGAGCTCAGAGAGAATAAGGCTGCGTTTGCACAAGAGCATAGGAGGGTAACTGAACTGGAGGAACAACTAGCGTCGGTCATACAAGAGAACAACAGGTTACAAGAACAATTAAGGAATTGGCATCAAAGGGACGATGAGCCTAAGTCCATGCATGAGGAGTTTTCGATTCTTGAAGAAGTCAGGTACGTGTTGTTACACGTAGGATAAAAATTTCTGTATCTGTTCTATAAATGAACAGACAGACAATATTTTTCTTTATCATGGATAGTTAGTTCTTGTTTATAATAGAGGAGAACATACAACCACGGGGTTCAATTGATGGTAGTTTAAATACCTTAGCTATAAACAAGATGCGCTGTTGGCCTATTTTGGCTTGGGATATTCGGAAATCGTAATTAAAGTTGACGGCTTTTTCTGACAGAATTTTGAAATTCCTAATACCCTTTTTTAGACAACATGTTACAGAAAAATTATAAATCGATTGGAGACATGTTGGACCTAGAGATTGAACTCACTTACTCATTGATTGTTAGTCATACAGTGCTACTATTCCACCAAGGATCCCATCGCAGCCTGTAGTTTTTTGTTATTATATCTTTTTACGGAACAAAGTCACACCTGAAAGTATCTTCCTTAGATGACTTATGTTATATTGTAACATTACAGACAAGGACAATTATGCATTCGATGTCTCCGAGGTACAGAACGAGACGATATGTCTTCTATGCTGGACGGCGACGACGATGATAGAAGTGCAATATCTTCCCTCATTTTGACATCCACTGGCAACCACAGTCCAAAAGACGAGGTCAGCAGCAAACTTATAAAGTTCGACGTGAGTATCTTCTTATTGTGTATTATTTATCTGTGGCTTTTGTTTCTTTAACTTTAACCAGCACCGCAAATATGACACTTGAATTTGACCTTCCTTTTTTTGAATCTTAATATCCGTACAAAATGTGTTATCTTTACGGTAGAGCGTAGTTAGTATGTCTCTTTAACTGTGTAAATTACTAATCTTCACTAATAACATCGGCAGCATAAATTTTCCTTCTACGACAGGCGCCTTGCCTGAAATTCCTTCAAAGAGTGCTCTATGGCACATTCAATTCTCCTAGGCTTTTTGAATGTCGATTTAGAAGCATGCCCAGCTTTACCCGTCCCAAAGCAAATGGCATGGTCCACAATCAGAGCTGAACAGTCCCCATCCTCGTGAGAATTTGATGCGAGTGTTTAATATCGTTTCTAGGCGACAAAACTTTTCCAACTGCCCCTGATGTTGTTGATCACGCTTTGCATTTGCATAATGAAGCGCATTTGCAGTAGTTTTCTTTGGATATATCGCATGTAGTCGAAGGTACGTCCATTACTGACACGTTATTAGACTAAGAGTCTGCTAATCGGTGAGGGTCATTGGTTCATGGAACCAATGTTGTCGTCTGTGTGTGTTTTGATACTAACAAGGTTCGGATGGTTCAACTCAATTTTGCGCGCGTGTATCTGTGTGCGTATACAGTGATATACAAGCTATGCTATACAAATGTTGTATAAAGACATGCGCATGCGCACAGACTGCGCGCAAGATAATTGAACTATCTATAGTTGTGTATTTGTGATTAACAACGAGTCTATAACGATAAGAGTAATGGGTGTATTTTGACTAATTACCACATCATAACTTATGACTTTTCTTTTTTATATGAAACTATTTATGTCATGTCTTGCGTTTAATTTCTTATCACTTTAATTACATTCTGTATGCAAAGTAACAAAGTAATAACATTCATTCCATTTTTTAAACACGGCATACAGTTACCTTTTACAATATAAAGCAAACAATCATTCACAACTTCTATGGTTATCAAATATTAATTAAACTAATTTCAGAATGCGAAAGAAAAGTTACTGCAAGGCACCTGGGCAAACAAAGAGGATGGACACGAGAACCCGTACCGGGAGTTGGTGCAGAAGTACGAGGCGTTGCTCGAAGTTCAATTATCGCAGGTCAAGAACATAAGGAAAAACAAGCCAACCTTGCCGAGCGCACAAAGCCAAACCGGATCGCTTTTAGTGCATGACGAGCTACAGACGTCCGGCGACTTCAGCCAGTTTAGCGTCAAGGACACAGACGACGAAAGCGGCCACGGCGAAGATGCTCAAAAGGACAGCCAACAGAAAAAAATGGAAACGTCCCGCAAGAAGATAATCCAAACACCAGACTTTTCAGAGGCGGAAACCTCTAGCTCCGGTTTTTCGGACGAAACCAGCAATAAGGCGACGCAAACTGAACGCGAGAGACCCGGCTCCTTCTTATGCACAATAGCAGACGGAGAAGACTATCGGTTCAGTATCTACGATGATGTCAGCCCGATGGATAGCCGGTTCCGCAACAGACCCGAATACAGGGAATTGTTCAAAGAAATCTTCACTATTCTCAAAAAAGCGGCAGAGAACAAAGACGACGGAGAACAGTTGCCTTTACTCGACGATACGAAGGCCGGCAAAGTGCCACCGGTGACGCCGGCCACGGAGGAACCACCTGGAAACTTCTCCGATGACACTCAGAGTATTTTATCGTCTGTAATGTCTGAACAATCGATTCCAGTATCTGATATCACAACACCTGAATCGTCGACATTAAAAGAAAAAGAACCATCAGCATCAGAGGCTAAGGAAACAAAAGAGAAGCCAAACGTCGACAATAATAAAGAAAACAAACCAGTTGCTGAGAGCACCGAGAAACCAAAACAGAATGAACAGGAGAAGAAGGACAAAGAAAAAGAACGCGTCCTCACGCCTCTGGTGCGTCAGCCACTGGAATTCATCGCAGCTACTAGAAAGAAGTCCAGGCATCGCAACCGTAAGCACAGTCAAGATCGTCAGGGGGCCGATTCGCCCGTATTCCCTTCGCCGCCAAAGATCACGTACCAGAAGCCCTCTCACAAAAAACGCAGAGACTACAGGCCTATCGAAGTGAGTCCCCTCGCTAGACCGGCGGAGGGCGAGTGGAACGGCTCCACACTCCAGTTTTACAACAGGAACCTCAACTCGCCGACACCCAGCGTGAGTGGCCGTTCGGGTAAAATCTACCAAGGATGGAATCCCGAAACAGACTCTTGGGACATAAAACAGAGCACTGCGTCGCAGGAGATCCACAAGCTGAGGAAGCTAGAACTCTCCTACGCCGAGGTACTGAGAAACGCCGACAAAACGAAGAACAGGCGTAAGAAACATCAGTAATTGAATATTTAACGAACCGACCCCCTCTCGCACCAGCGAGGGCAGAGTGATTGTCTTTGCCAACCGGACAAATTTAGTTTAAGTTTTTGTGATCTGCTAGCGTTACTTATTAATTTATATCAGATAAATCATTAATGCCATAATACCGATATAGATATATATCGCATATGTAATAGGAGCCCAGCAAGAAATAGTCAAAGTTACAAATTAAATTATTAAACCTATTTATGTAATAAATAATGTAGATCCCTCTCCAAAAAATAGAGTAACGCTCGTAACGTTATACCGAAACTAAAAGAAAATATGCATTTATACATTCTGAATATGGCTTCGTTTATAAAGCTTATTTCAATATTAACTATTGCATATTATTTAATTCGGCATTTCAACTGAATGGATTTATTTGCTAACTCTGTTTCGTTGTCTCAGTCACTATTTTAATTGTATATTATGTATTTTATTGAAAAGCATTTGTAAATATTATTTAATTTTATATTAATTAATTTGCCATGGTATGTACTGTACTGCGAGTGTTTCAATTCATTATGGAATTGCATGGAATATTTAATGAACGAGAGGTTGGAGGTATGAAATAAAAATTTTAAATAAATTATTAGCATTTCATTTAACCTTAAAATAAGAACAATTATAAATAAATAATGAAAGACTTACATTTTTATAGTACATAATTATTATATGATGTTTATACACGGTGTTGCTTGGTTGTTGTCTATCACTTGTTTTGCGCTTCGAGTTCCCTTTCGACAATCTTGCGATACTCGTCGAATCCGCCCTCTATGCTCTTCACGGACCCGCTTCCGCATACCCAGAGTTCTTTGCACACCATTCGTATTAACCTCTCGTCGTGAGATACAAGAATAACACCGCCCTGAAAGGTTATTTTTATTAATTTAGTTAGAGAAACTAGACTATTTTGTGAAAATCGTTGAATACACATAAGAGACATTTTGAATAAACTCTTAACGATTTAAAACACGAAATGCCAAGCATTCGAAACGTCTGGCCGTAGTTAAAATATATTGTCAATTAAATACTGTCTACAGTTTACCCGAGTAGTACACATTTAAATAAAACACTTTAACGGTTTAAAACGCGATATATTAGTTAAACTATTTGAAAATATTATGCGTTTTAAACCGTTAAAATGTTTTATTTAAATGTGTACTTTTCGCTTAAATTACAGACACTACTTAATAACAGATCTTTACACGCTGATGTTGAAGCCGAGGTTAACGGAAAGATAGTGGTAGTCTATATGAATGTCTGATTCAATTAGACACCTAAACCACCGGGCCAAACTTAATAAATCAATTTGTTTTTCCAATACAGAGTTAAACGTATTGCCTAGCATTGCGATCAGCGCGAGAGGTCGTGGGTTCGAATCCTAGAAAAACATAAAATTGTTTCGGTGGGGCAGGGCCCAGAAGTCTGATCAACTACTTTCCCGTTAAAAGAACGGATCAGTGAAACGGACACAGAAATGTGTTCGCCCCAAACCCCACGAGGGGGAAATGGGCTGTCACTTTTTTAACCGTTTTATAAAAGTTAGTAATGTTATATATAATAAGCAACTCTGTAACTATTTGAAGTAACATAGAGAGCAATTGATTAAGTGCAAAAGTGTCTAGGTTCGAATCCTGGGGTAACAAGTTTTTTTAAGCAAAAGTGTTTATAAGCTTACCGTGTATTTGTTTATTCCCTTTCCGAGGGCTTCAATTGTTTCAATGTCCAAGTGATTGGTCGGCTCGTCGAGGACCAAAAAGTTGGGGTTCCCGAGGCACATGTTAGCGAAGGCCACCCTGGACTTCTGCCCTCCGGAGAGACTGGCTATTGTCTGGAGGGCGAGGTCCCCACTCACCCCGAAGCTTCCCAACTGTCTCCTATATTCTTCTATGGTCTTACCTAGAATAAACGAATTGGCCACATTTACACAAAAGTGAAGAATTATTTGAAAGTATATGGGCATAAACACCTTTAAAGTTACCATTTTCATTATTTTATTTAAAGGTAATAAGACCTCTATGCCCTCCCCACCGAAAAATTATATCGTTACCACCACTACCGGAATTACTCAAGATCTCTAATGCAATTTGAAAAAAAAGTTTCTTTTTTGAAACTAAGCATTTAATATTACAACAACTAATTAATTATAAGTTCATCTTTAATGATTTTCTTAAGCTGCAGCACATAAGCCATGAATCTTAAAACGCAAGGGTTAAGGTCGAAATTACATTGCGCGGGCGCATCAGGTATCAATAGGTTGAAAGAATTCGACGAAGACGTGTAGGACTCGGTAGCTCAATTGGTTAAAACAGCACGAAGCGCTGTGGGTGCCGGTTCAAATCCTGTCTGTAAACTTTTTTCATATCTATAATCGATTTTTAATTTATTACAACAGCTTTACAAGACTGTTAATTACCTTCTTAAAATGTCAGGATATATTGAAGATTTGTTTATTTAATTTATCTTTTTACTTAAATACAGTTATACCCTGGCTTAACTTTAAGGATTTTCCTTATTGTCTTCTAGATCCTTCACTAGAATGTTTAATGAGTTTAGTTCTCATACCAGGGTAGTTCTTCTGTAATAGCTCCACCGAGTTGACATTCATTTCGAGCTGGTCAACGTGATGCTGAGAAAAGTATCCGAACTTGAGGCCGCGGTGAACGCTGCGGATTCCGCTGGTGGGTGACAGGATCCCCATTATGATCTTCAGTAAGGTAGTCTTTCCTGCTCCGTTGTCACCTACCTGAAAAAGTGATCGGACAAGATTTACTTTTTTCACTTGTTTATTGTTATAACTTAAATACATTGGCAAAAGGTTTGATTAATATTGATAAATCGATAGGCGAGACTTGAAGCTCCACCAACTCTTTGGTCTACCGGCACTTACACGGCAAAGTAAGCAATGATAGCTGTTAATGACCTACCAGAAGCTCTATATTATGTTCTAAACCTATTTTTCCCTATAAGGGTCATGGGGTCAAGTTATTTCACCGATCAATTATATAATTGATCAGTCATTTGGGCCTTACTCGACCGAGACTATTTGTTTCACTGGGATTCCAAACCAGAACTTTGCACTTAATGCAATGTACGGATTAACAACCAGGTGGCGCGCCTAAATGCATAGTGTTTAAATAAAACACTTTTAACGGTTTGAACCGCGAAATATATTAGATAACTCATTTTTAATTTTATTTTACTATGGCATGACCTATGGCCAACTACAGGTCAAAGTATCCCGAATGCCAAAGTCAAATTCGATACGCTACTGCCACCTCGGGCTGAAGGTTAAAATAACTCAACATATTCCGCGTATCAAACCGCGTGTTGTGTTTAAATTTGTACTAGTCTCATGAACACAGATAAAAAACTTAATAGGATGTAATACAGTCTCACTGCTTATACAACTAGAATGGAGTAGAATAATTTTAACTTACAATACATATCCTAGATTCGAGGGTAGCTCCCAAATTGACGTTGGTGAAGATCACTTTATCCTTTGAATAGTAGAAGCCAACTTCGTTCAACTGCAAGATTGGCGGTGAGAGAGGCTCCGTCTCAGGAAACCTTAGTACTACCTCAATTTCCTTTTCTATGGGTTTCAACTCTGGTCTGAAATTTGAAAAATAAAAAAGGTGAAAAAACAAAATTGTAACTTATTACGATTTCAAAATTATTTTTCCCACACGACAGGTTCCTCAATTAAAAAACAAGCAATTTTAACTTGAATTATGCAATAAGCATAGTTTTAATTTATTCCTTTATTTTTGTTTAAAAAGGACAAATCTTATGCTTTATTATAAGCAATCGAACTACTAGCGAAGGACCGGTCGTACTGGAAGCCATTGTCCAGCAGTGAACATCAAACGAAGTCAAACTCGAAAGCTCATAATTCGATAAGCAATCAGAAGATTACATTAGTACTAAGGACTGTACCTATAAAATAATATGTATATTTTACAATATATTGAAATCTTATTTCTATGTATGTTCCTCTACCCCCTGTGTAACCAAAAAAACTTAATCATGCTACCTCGGGCTTCAAATTCAGGACCTCTCATGATTAATCCAATAGTTGAAGGCGATGTTATTGATAATATATTGTATTGCTATAAAATAGTAACTCACAATTTTTCGAGCATCTTTATTTTGCTCTGCACGGAAGACGCACGATTGGCATTATACCGGAAGCGGTCAATAAACTCCTGCGTGTGCGCACGGTGCTGCTGCTGGGCTTCGTATTCACGCTGCTGGTTCTTTAGCTTCTCCGTTTTAGTCTTGTGGAATTGTTCGTAGTTACCCCTATACAAAAATAAATTATAAATATATAATAAGAAATTATTTATTATATAAGATATTATTTCATAAATAATTAATAATTTCTTAGTAATAAAATGAGTTACACATTTATTTATTTATTACTGGAGAAAATCAACTATAATTGTGAGTATCAACTCGCATTTAATTATATACATGTGTTTACGCTAAACTGAAAATTTATTCTTGTTTAAATAAATGTCTGAAACCTAAATTATTATCAAGTACTTGAATAATTATTTGTTTCATATTGTCTATTAGCTTTCTTATGTAAAGATTATGTGCTTTGTATCTATGCTGCACTGTATTAAATAAGTAAGTTTCATTCTATTATCTAAAACTACTTACTAATAATTATAAAAGACCTGATCAATAATTTTTGACTATAATTGTCACCAAATATTGATTTACCTGTATGTATCAATTCGCTGTGAATGTAAATGCATTATGTCAGTTGGTACTGTGTCAAGGAAATTTCTGTCGTGAGACACGACGAGTAACGTGGTCGGCCAGTTCTGGAGATAGCTCTCAAGCCAAATGATAGCCTTTATATCCAACATGTTAGTGGGCTCGTCAAGCAGCAGGAGATCCGGTCTGTGAAAATATTGATTACATTATTTTATTAGGTTATTATTTCATTTTGGTGATTAGTGTTTTTATTTTTAATATTATTTGTGCAATGTAGAACAGAGATATACAAACAAATAAAAGCCATCAATACTAGTCCAGCTTCTTTACAAACAAACATGTTATTGTATTTAAACAAAACAACTTTTCACACCAATGAGATATGTTGGAAAAGCTAAACAGAATACCTTCCGAGATTATCTTCCCTATAGCACTTTGCTGTTGTTAAAAAAAAATTCCGTGACAAAAAACATGTGTATCTTGTAGAGCGTTAACTGATTTTAAATGGCTAAACTAATATCAACAAACATTTAGGTAAATAACGACTATATAAGCCACTAAAGACTTACTTAGAGAAAAGTGCTCTTGCCAAAGCTAATCTCATTCTCCAACCACCAGAGAAGGTTCTTGTTGCCCGAGCTTGCATTTCTGGAGAAAATCCTAAACCACTCAATATAATGGATGCTCGAGCCGGAGCTTTATCTGCTTCAATGTTTTCTAGCTGCGCATATATTTCTGTTAGTTCTGCTGATAGGCTGGGATCTGTCGAACTGAAATAGCGAAATTTCTGTTTTAACGGTTTAAAACGCGAATTATATAAGTTAACTTATTTTAAATTTAGTTTTAGGTTATGTAGTCTGTCCCAATATCGAAGAAAAATCTACTACGCTAGCGCCTTGATTTCCTAGTAATTATTGGTATTTGAAAATACCAGAAAATAAGCTGCATACTTACAAAACATCGTTTTTTTTATTAAATTCAAAAAATAAATATAATAACGCCTCACCCATTATTTATAGAAGCCGTAATTTCCTTTTCTCGTTTCAGTAAATTTTCTCTAACAGTATCACATTCAAGCACGCTTTGCAATGCAATTGTGTCATCACCAACTACTTCTTGTTCCACATGAAGAACTGAAATATGCGACGGTATCTTCAGTTGCTTAGCTGATATCATTCTTAGAAGTGTTGTTTTGCCAAGTCCATTTCTGCCTACGAGACCATACCGTCGACCGAAGGCTAGAACAAGGTCTGCACCTTGTAATAGTACTCTGAAATAAGTCAGTAAAATATATTAAGTACTGAAATATAATACAGTTAAATCCATTTATTATGACTCCGTCTATATAGACCAACCGATTATTATGACGTCATTACACTACAAAGTTTGGTTTTCATATAAAAAAGTTGGATATAATGTCTGGTTACAATGATTTAATATGTATGTATACATGCGTAGTTACTATGTTCCTCTATTCAAATATTTAAATACATACATATTTATATAAAAAAAGGTTTTTTTTTACACAACGCATTGTATGATGTCTGCTTATTATGACGTGTTTGTCAATAACTCTCCATGTCATTATTCAATTAGGATTCAACTGTAATATAATTATTAATTAAGCATGAAAGTGTGAGAATGGCATACCTCTGTCTGTTTAGTGATTGATTTTACTTACAGATAATCAGACTTAGCAACTTACTTTGTCTTACAAAAACTATTGTTTCTCTAGGTTTGAAACCTATGACAGCTAGTGGGAGACAATGCGTTTTAACATTAAGCCTTAGATTTGGTCAGATGGCCAGTAATCTAAATATTTATTCATTATAATATAATAATAATGTGATGTAAATTACCTATCACCATAAGCAATATCAAAGTTTTCTATCCTTATGTCTTGAGTTCGATTGGTGCCCTTAGCTTCTAATTTACTGTCTTTCTTAGACGTGACCTGAGAGGCAGTGGCTGTCTGTAGAACTGGTGCTGCTACTGGTACTTTTGCTTCCTTTTGTTTCTGCTGTTTCTGTTGTAGTTTAGCTTCTGCCTTTTCTAATTTCTTAGCGTCAACTTTCTGAAAGGAATAGTTATCAGTATAAACAAATAAACTCAGCTAAAGCTTAGAGACAATATAAAATTAAAAACTTTACTTAAGATTACAATCTTTGTTTTTGTTTAATGCTGAATAGATTTTCTGAAAAATTATATATTTTCATTTATTATTTTACAAGATGGCATTATCTGATAGTAAGTTGAATATTGTACATGAACATTGTAATTCTCTTTAATAAATAAATTTTTTTTTTTTTTTTTTTTTTTTTTTTTTTTCTCCGGGTTCATATTTAATACTGTTAAGCTAAAATCTTAAAATAGTAATATAATAAAATTATTTACATTAAAAATCTCTAAGATTGAAAAAAAGTGTAATACAAAAAACCTAAAAAAAATTTTTTACAAAAAAAAAAAATTCCCAATTTTCAATTTTTTTTTTTTTTTTTATTTGTTTTTAATGTGACCCAAACTAGGCAATGCCTGTCTTTTGGGAACCCCCCCAAACCCCTTTTTCCCCACAGGAGCATTAAAAATAGATATACAGCCCCCTTGTTTTTTTGTGTGAATTGGAGGGAGATGTTTTAAAGTTAAGAAAGTGTAATAAAATTTTTATTAAAATCTACTAAGATTGAAAAAATTTACAACACAGGTAAGACTTAAAGAATCAATTTTAATAGATTTCCAAGCCAAAGAACAAATAGTTATGAATGAAGAAACTATTACTATTATTATTTTTCTTATTTAAAATACTTACAAAGTTATCATCTCTTGTTTGCAACCATATACTCTTAACATCATTGCTTTCAACAACAGGAGCAGCCATTGAAGCTAAGTGTATTGGAGCATCCAAAACTTTACGAGGACCATTTGTTGTTTTGCTTTTCTCGGGTTGCAACATATGTAACAACTTTTCACAAATATCTCTGTAATATTTTAAATAAATCAACCATAAATTATCATCGCATAACTTAATTAATAAGAAACCACAAACAAATTAACAAATCCTTTATAATAATCTAATAATAATATAATATATATAGTAGTAAGGAAAGGGACTATAAACTAATCATAATACAAACTAGAATAATGGCAAAGGTGTAAACAATTAACATGAGAAGAAAAATCATTAATAATCAGTAAGGATAAGTACAATCAAAAACAAAAAGATTTTGAAAGAGTAGTATTGATAACCTGATATCCTCTTCGGATTTTTCTGAAATCCCTTGTAATACTTCCCCTATGGCCTCAAATACCTCTTCTTTATCCTCGAACTCCCCTGCACTACTATCCAATACATCTGAAATAGCATTTTAGGAGAAACTTACAACATGTACATGGTAAGTTGATGTTTTTTTTCTAACCTATACAAAACATTACCTTCAACATATTTTTTTAATTCCTCGTCAATGAGAGGAAACTGGCTCTTAATATATTCGCCGCAACTTGCCATTGTTTTTTTAATACTTGGTGAATACCAAGATACTTGTTTTTATTAATTATTTACCATTTATTTTATTGTAGCAAGTAAACGTAGAATCGTAATGTCACACTGGAAAAACTGACCTTTCAATGTCAATGTCATAGGATTTATCAAATGTGGTATATAATCTATGAATTACACTGCCTGTGGTAATAATATAGACTCTTTGGTATTGACCCTTTAAAAGAAATTGGTTCGGCAGTCTATTTCATTTTGTTTTTTTTTAACTTCCAACACTACTTTAATATTATCCCGCCGCGACGCAAATTTGTTTCAATTCTAAAAGTATTTTTTATTTTGATTATATGGACAATGGCTGAAATAACAGGATATAGTTATAAAAGATACGAAAAATCCCTAGGGCTTTTAACACAACGATTTGTATCTCTACTACAAAGAGCTAAAGACGGTGTTTTGGACTTACGAGCCGTATGTTTAAAAATGACACTATTATTTATACCCATACTATACAATTCTATACTAAGTAAAAAGGTTTATTACCAACTGTTACAATTTTAGGCCACTGAAATATTAGCTGTTCGACAGAAAAGAAGAATTTATGATATTACGAATGTTTTGGAAGGAATTGGTCTTATTGAGAAACGCAGCCAAAACAGCATACAGTGGAAGTAAGTTTCAACACTTTGTACATAAGGTGGTTCCTTTTCACACATTCTATGTTTTCTACATATCTGCTGTATCTTGCCATTTACCACAAATAATAATTACAGAGGTGCAAGCCCCGAAGGTATATCAAACGAAATTGGCGCCAAGGTTAATTCGTTACGAAAGCAAGTAAACAGTTTAGAAGATCATGAACAATTATTGGATAAGTAAGTTACAATTTTACTTAGTTACCTTAAAGTAAGATTATAATTCTGTTTAGGTTCTAGAATAAGGTAAGACTTCAAGATTGTTGTGTTTTACAGACATATGCACTACATTGAACAAAGTATTAAGAATGTAATAGATGATAAGGGCAATCAGGCTTTATCATATGTAACAGAAGCTGACATACGGAAATGTTTTGATGCCGATCAAGATATATTTGTACTAGAGTGTCCACTTGGCACAAAAATATCTTGCAGTAGGCCATTAGAGGTAAATATTTAATTTCTATATTACAGAATATTAGATGTCAAATATAAAGTTTCATTCAATTGTTTGTTAAGTAAATTTCATATGAAATTTTGTATGCTTTAAGGAAAAGGAGAGCATGCTACATTTGAAATCTCATGATCCAGTCGGAGTAATTTTGTTATGTGACTTAGATAAAGAAAAGGTAATCATTTTTGATATATATTTAGTATAATTACATAAGTTGCTCTGCAAAAAGGGCAAAAAAAGTAGTATACTCATACTTTACAAACACTTACAGGAGATGGACCATGATGCAGATGAAGAAGTTCATACATATATGGATGGGTTTAGTAGTGCATCTTCAAACACAAGTAAGTTTTATATGTTCTTCCAATGAAGAAATAAAGAAGATAAACTTGCATCAAAATCCATAGTGACAACCAATTTTAAATCTCTTACACAATTCAAACAATTTTTGGTCAATATTGACAAGTTAAAGTTCCATCTCCACTTGGTCCTTTTTTTTATAATCAATTTAAGTTTTTTTTTAAACATGTTGCATTTTGTCTGGAAACCTGGATATTGAATAGGTAGTAGGAAAATAAAATTTTGGTCTGGATCACAAACTGCCACAAATGAAAAGCCGTAAATTGTTCAACAGCAGATCTTGTTGCAATGTTATAATTAAAATAACACTAAAAGCCTACATGTGTCGACTTGTTGCAGATTACCTTCTAAGACTAAGCCCACCCATCACGAGACAAGACTTTTCCTTCTCATTGAGCGGTTCAGAAGGATTATGTGATCTATTTGATATTCCTTGTTAACATTTATATCAGTATTTGACGCTAAGTTTTTGAAATCTATTTTGTAATCATGTTGACTTTATAATGTAAGTATAATAAATCATGTAAATATATGAGAATCAAAAATGTTATTAAAATAAATTTTCTGACATAAACTTATTTATTTTTGGAAATAAATCTGTCCAATACACCAAATGATTGCGTTGGTTTTTGCCTTTCTGGTAAATCTAGCATTTCTTGTGCTTCCAGAGTATTTTTAATTTGTTCCTAAAAATAAATATTCAAGTTAGACAAGCAAATTTTGTAATATTGATTTACTGTATTGTGTTCATTTGAGTCTAGTAAAAAACAGTAGCTTGTCTCTCACCTTTCTTGCATTTGCTTTAATGATTTTCTTTCTTGCAATATTACTCAGTCCTTTGTTTTTATGCTTAATCTTCAAGTCAATTTTCTTGTCTTTAACATGCTGTAAGAATACCAAGTTTAAATAAAGCATAAATAATTAAATTTTACAAATCATATTTAAAATAATAAAAATGTATGACAACATATATAATCATTGAAAAACTGTGGCTATGCTGTTTGTGTCTGTATTATTATTTTATTAACTGAAACACCATTTCAATGTATTGAAAAGAGATTAATAATATCAAAAACTACAAAATATAAGCTAGTGTTATTTCATACCAGTAACTTTGATTTAGCATCAAGTTTATCCTTCAGTGAAGGGACATCCACTCGCACCACCTCAAATGGATCTAAGGTTATCAGTTCCGGTGGTATTTTCTCTAACAATGCCTTAACTTCTGCCTCCTTTCGTTGTGTCTTTGTCTGGTATGGATTATTTTCATAAGCATCAAAGTTTGGTTCTCCACTACCTAAGGGATCACAAAAAATTCTTGGTCAATAAAAACAAATGTCTAAATTTATATTAACAATTAGATTTGAAATGCAGCGCGTTACATAACAAAGCAGTTTACATCCACAAGAAGTTATCTGTTAAAAAATAAGTACAATTACCTGGCACTATTATGCTACTAAATCCACCGCTGGTTCCAATACCCAGGACATCTTCATATGGACAAAACTTAAAGTTGCAAATGGATTTTGACATTTTGTGCCTCATGTAAGGTGCCTCAACTGTCTGGGTACAACAGTTGCTACAAAAATAAATATAATTAGTTTATGTACATATTTCTCAGTTGTGAGACATGGAGTCGAGTACTATGTGCAGGACAAGGGCCTGGGTTGGTCTCTTGGTATACTTAAAAAGGGACCCAGGGGCACAGAAATTTATAAGTTAAACACAGCCAACTCCTTCCTCACATAGGAAATACAGAACTATCAACTATAAGTTATGTTAAATGCTCCTGGTAGGTGTATAACACTAACAAATCATGTGAATTTGAGATCTCATTACAGGTTTATCAATTTGGTTTCAATTCTTTAACATCGAATTTGCAGATTGCAATTCAGTTTATAATATTTGTTATCTTATATTTTTTGTATGTTGTAATACAACTTACCTATATATTTCTACAACCTCACCAAGTCCAACAGCAAGCATATCTTTCTGTGAGAAATCTAAATCGGTTGCTGAACTTCTAAGCTTATAATGCTGTAAGGGTCCATCTAAATTCCGTATGTCCCATATTTTTAGACTTCTGTCTACTCCAGATGTTGCCATATACCTAAATAAATATATATTTATTGCAAAATTTTCATTAAATTTACTTTAGCAAAAGCCCCTTTATCACTAAAGCTATTGTTAGTTTTATTATTGTTACAATAAATTAGTTTAACATGGCTTAAAAGTCCTTGAACTAAAAATTCATTATAGAATACATACATTCCTCTTTGATCAACAGCAATAGCTGTTAGTGGGGTTTTGTGGCACAAAATTTTAGCTAGTGGTTTTTTGACAGTCGGAGCCCACATAGATACAACTCCTTGTGAATTTCCCAAACATACCATAGCGTTATAAGGATTGTGGGTCATAACAGATGTTCGGCCTAAATAATTATTGTAGTGGCCGACAACTTCTCCTATTGAAATATCTAGCCAACTCATAAAGCCATATTCATTCTGTAAAAATTTATTTCTGTTAATATTTCATTATTTGAGTCATTGGTCATTAGTAAATAAAATTAATGATTTAAAGTACTTTTTCAATTTAAAAAACAAAGATTGTGTTAGTTCCAAACTTACAACGGCAGCAAGCAAAAAGTGGTATGGAAGGAATTCCATTCTCAGTATCTTGTCCATTTTCTTTACACAATGTATCTCCATTCCAGTATTGTCATATATGTATAACCACTCCTTTTGTGCGGCTGCTAACATTGTTTCAACATGTAACCAACTAAAAGATAAAATTTTTTATACAAAACAAATTATACCATTTAAGGGATACTATACAGTTCAAAATTATATCAAAACAGACATAATATGCTTGTTTTACTTATTGAAACTAGAATTAAAGTTCTGATATAAAATCAATACCTTATATCATGAATAGATTCCATTACATTAATTTCACAATGGAGCTTCTTCGTAACCCAGTCGAAGGCAGCTAAATGACCTTTCTTACTGCCTAAAAGTAAATGTCTACCATTCCTAGAATACTTAGTTCTGTAGGGACCAAACTCAAGCTTTAACTCAAAAATCTTAGTAGCAGCAGTAATATCTACATTTTCAGCAATTGCTTTTTGGGTGATCCCTGTGGTTCTGTGATCTTCATCAACTTGTAAATATCTGCAAAATATTAATAGCCACAAGAGTCGATTTAGGAGGTACCAGTGGACTATAATGACAGTAGAATAATATACAGTTAAAATCAGGTATAACAAGCCTGCCCAAAAGTGTAAATGGCAGAAATGTAGTCAGTACGTCTCATATATAATCTAAGTCATGACTTACCCAGCATTCTCTGTTAATAATATATCTGCTCTAGCTGCTTGTTCTTGTGCATATTTATATTTGATTTCTTTTTTTTTTAGTTTAAGTGCATGTATAGGATGCCTCACACCTTTACCTATTTCATCTCCCCGAGAATGTTTCTCTAACTTTTTGGAATCAATAGGCGCTTTCCCGGGAAATTTATTTTTTTTACCTTTTGGCTCGTCAATTTGCAGTTTCTGTAGGGAAATTTAATATTTTATTAGATCATATTATAAGAAAATATTGTCACAGAGTTCGTCACTTACCTTTCGGACCCATTTTGAATGGGGCTTCATAACAACATTGTACGTTTCAACCTTATCAACTGCCGTGGTCTTTGAAGTTGAGCCATTTTCGTCATTGTTATCAAAATAACGCGGCTGAAACGTTGGTTATGTTAATATTAATACACGAAAATTAATTTTAACAAAATTTAGCCACTTTCAAAGATATACTGTACCGTTTTTCTAAGCACTGTGTTTTCTTTCATATCTAACAAGATAACCCTGATTTAAATGTTTAAAAAAATATAATCACCACCTGCATTTAATTCCTAACATATTTTGAATTCACAATTTTACAATGTGCATTTGACAGCAGACAAGTGACAATTTACAACTAATGTAACTACAGTTGACATTAGACTACACTCTTATAATTCTTTTTTTTAAGGATGGCACAAATTCGTAATAAATATACAGCGTAACGTTAAATAGTAAAAAAGTATGTTTACGAGGAATGGGGATTTGTAAGTTCACTTTTTTGATAATTACTTATTACATTTATTATTAATACATCTAAACATAAATCGGCACATACCTGTGTTTCCTTGTATTTATTTGAATAGAATTCTATTGGCTATCATAAAATGAAGGATGACTTAGATCTATTTAAATCGAAAATTCGCTTTAGAGAATGATAGGAGCAAAATATGAGTACGACTAAGGAGGAAGAAAATTACCGTTTGTGTATTATTTTTTATTGCTATTATACCTAGAAAAAATTGTTTTGGTCATATCGAGGACAGAAGCCGGTTGAACTGGGTATTTAGTTGTGTCTGTATTGAAGTCGATCGTTAGTCGTATAATATTGCCTTGCTCTCCCCAGTTAGTGAAAATAGATTTCACTTGTTTTGTAAGTTTCTAATTATTCATATGTTATTGGAAAAGTATACGATCTGCCATTGTATAGAATTGCTAGGAAATATATTATTTTAAAATTGTACGGAACGCTAATAAATATATGAAAACATTTAAACCAAAACCTTACGAAATAGCTGATGACATCAACGTAATTTCTGTAAAAACGATAATTAGCTTAATCAAATGGTACCAAGAATTTTTAAGAAAAGAACGAAATATGAAAACAATAATATTCTCGATTTCAGCATAATGTTTGTTCTTTTCCATCCAAAATTTTCGAAGCGACTAATTAGTAAGATTATTATATTTTACGACATGATTGTTACCTGAACATTATTTTTTCAACGTGTGTTATTAAAATTATTACCTATTCTAACACGTTGCAGAAAGCTTTATTTTTATATACCCCAATACGATATCGAAATTATATGGGTTTTATTATGGGTGGAATTGTTCACATTTCTTCTGATTACCTTTTTATTTATTACTTTGATTATCTCTCGTCATACCTAATACCTTAGCGGGGGTAAAAAAAGAGAAATCTCCGATAATTTCGATATTTATTACTTTTTATTCTCTTCAACAACACATACTCAATATTTTACAGAAACATATATTATGACAATCAGAGTAGTAACATAGTAATAGGTAGTATTTTAATGCGTATATATTTCATGTTTTATCAATTGTAACGAAAATTCATCTTACATTTTTTGTTCAAAATATTATGTCAACATAAACGACTAATAGCGGTGCGTTGAGAAAGGATAAACAACAAAACTTTTCCGAAAAAAGCACAATAAATTAATATTGCAAAATAACAGCCTTCAACCTCAATACAAACTATCACATTCCGCCAAGGTAACAATAAATAAATAACAATAACTTAATCACAGCGAGGTGAACATTGGCTAACAAATATTATTCCTATAATTGGTTATCAATTAATGACTGAAATAACTTACTCGATCTAATGAGATCCCATTATTTACTAATTTAAATAAAAACGCCCGAGCGACGTTATAACTACTATTCACAATATTTTATTTACAAAAAACTGACTAGTGTTTCTACGAAGTGTTTTTACTTTTGACCATTTTTTACAATCCTAGCTCATAGTACCGTTCGTCGCTTTAACTGCGTTTGTATTTGGCACATTCCCAGAACACCTGGTAATCAGAACGAAACTGCAGAAGTAGCGAACACATATAATATTTCTAATTTATTCTCGTTGAGGTGTCTCATAATTTAGCTGCAAGTGAGCAATATAGTGAATCTCGAATTTAGTCTGTATACGTGAACCTTATCTAAGTTAATACACAGTATTTACAAACCGATAAAGATGAGCGTATGGGGCTAAAATCGTTCACATCACTAGTATCAACTTTTTCTTAAGTTACATTAATTAAGCATACGTAAGAATAACAGTGTTAAAATTGATTTTAGACTAAATTACGTCGACCACAATGATAAGAGACGATCGTTCTCGGTTATGTGATGTCTTTAAGCATTCACACATCGTATACGTTTACAAAACAGATGCCTCTATGTAGAACACAATGTCCGTTACATCGATACTGCACATTTCGCACGAGGTATCATTTTTGATTGTCAACAGTCTTTTCACAGATACCCGGTATCGTAGAACACATCACTTTTAACGTCAATTGAACTAAGTAAGCCCCGACGACTGCGACCCGTTTATTGACGATCACTATCGGCGGTGCTAGGTGAGCCTTAAATTGGAGTAGGCAACACTGTGAAGTCTTGGAGCGCGTTTTTCACGGTTTCATAAATGGGCCGGTTTTCATCTGGGCAGTAGCCGTCAGGGGAGCAGAGAGTCTGTAACTTCGTCAGGTAAGAGTCGAAGTTGTCGTGTGCCGGTTTCTCTCCGGGCCCAGGTGGCGGTGGTGCCCCGGGCGTACCGGGCGCTGATGTGACGTGGGCGGTTCCACCGCCGGGTATCTTCACGTGCTCCAACAACGTTATCACGTTATTTCTCAGACTCTCGTAGTATTCGTTGAGATTATTATTCCTCTGCGACATCAGCTGGTTTTCCTGTTGACAAAATATACGAAATCAACAAAAGAGCCAACTATAGCAATTTCAAGTTAATTAGTTAGTCCACGATTAACGTTTTGAGTGTCTACTCTATTGAATAGTATTTAAGTAGTACTCACTAAATAATGTTTTGTGTTGGATGTTAGGAGCACTCAAAGTTGGATGTTTGGAGCCATGATAGAACCATCTACGTTGTCGGACAAAAATATCCACTTTGAGTGTTAGGAACTTATAATCGAGAGTAGAGACGGTTGGGAGGTTTCGCAACTCACCCGCTCCCCTGAACTTAGATGAGACTCCATGGCATTTATGTCAGACTTCAGGCGCAGCATCTGGGACTCCACGCGTGCGTTTTCCCGCTGCAACTCCGTGATTTCTTGTTCGAGGGTCATAAGATCCTCTCCGTTGCCAGTTTGCATGTTGATATCCATGCCTGAAAGATTATAACATTACTTTTCGCTGCGATAAGGCGTAGATAACGATTAAGCTGATTATTTATTTGTTATATCATTATTGAACTTACTCGAATACGGTTTTGGGTAGAGTGGTGTGATATCATCTGGGTATTTGGCCTTTTTGGGCTGCGGCGTGGGTGTCGCAGCGCCGGCTACCGGGCACCCGGATAGCGAGCGGTGGGTTAGAAAGGAGCCGTTGATGTGGCCGGATCCATCACAACCTGGGGTGGGGCAGTTTACTCCGTCGAATTTTATCGCTGAAGCGGCGGCTGCCACTGCCGCTTTGTGCTGTTCCACTGTTCCTCCGCTTTCTAATACCCGCATTTTGTTTCGATTTGCTATCGGACATCCGGATGCACTGTAAAGTTATTTACACAAATTTATATATAGAATGTATTATGTAATAACAATTTACGATGAAAACTTATTTTTTAAATAAGTATTTGTATAAATTATAAAATATTAGACATAAACAATGGCACGATGGGCTCTTGGTGGTGGGTTCAAGTACTTTCAATCTATTATGGGGTGTCAAAGATGCAGTTCCCTGGTGAAAATGGCAAAAAATGGCTGCTGGCGACTACTAAGAATCTTACCTCCGATGTGATAAAAATTTCCCTGTAGCGTGTCCTGATCCATCACAGCCCGGTATAGGGCATCTGAGCAGCGTGTAACGAGAAACTTATTGCAATTCGGTAGCGATATTTTTATTTTATATATTTCTAAGAAGTGGTACGTGAGAGTGAGTTATACCTATTTATAAAATATTGTGTATTGACGGACTGTAGAGAAATATTCGCCTTTTTATGATAATAGGCAAGACAAGCATGGGGTAGCTTGAAGATAAAACACCTGACATATAAACGAGATGCACTGTCTATTCTCTCCATTCAAATATCAAAAAAATTAAACTCGATTACAGTATACGGCTTTTTAATTTGTGAACGGTGGTTGGTGAACAGGCAAAACTTCGATCCCTACCACCATTCTTTACATTTATTTATCATTTTAGACAACCTAGTTGGCCTACCTATCCTAGATCAATTCAAGAAGCCTTGCTTGGACCAAATATTATTGTATCTTACCTAAGCGGTTCAGAGTCTTGTCCATCCCGGGGTTTGCTCTTAGGTTTATTCGCTCTGGGACACCCGGATAGGGATCGATGTGATGAGTAATTGCCAGTGACGTGTCCTGAGCCATCGCACCCCGGTGTCGGACATTTGAGTTCTTGCGAGTGTGGCTGAAGTTGGGATCGATCGGCGCGCGGGCATCCCGACAGACTGCACATATACAAACTGCTTACAATGGCGTGTTACTGTATCTTAGCTTAGAACAATATTTTAGACATTAAGTAGATAAACTAAACTCCTAAAGTAAAAAAAATACTGTACACAAACATTCATTTACGATATTTAAAAATTATTATTTTTATATAAAACTTTAATTTGATTAAAAAGAAAATAAATGTAGGTAATTTTTAACTTAAATTATGAAATTAAAATGTCGCTAAATTAAATAAATAAATAAACGTTAATATAACAGTTTTCTTTTATAAAAATAGTTAATATAAATGAAACCTATTATTGTCTATTTAGAAAAGTATTATTTCTACTAAAAACAGTTAGACAACGGTAGACACCATGCGTTTATAACAACAATTAGTTTTAGTATTCAGAATCAAACGAAAAATATTGAGAATGTCGAAAGGAATAATTATAGTTAATTATGAAGACGCATTTGTTTTCGCTCAGTTATTTTTAGCACTGCAAAGATACGATGTGCGTATTCTATAAGACAAGAAACAAGACGATAACAAAACAATACATTTTACATTAAACATATTAGCATGTCAATACCATTGTATCAGGGCAATTGTTTTATTAAATACGCTGTTATACTTTTTGGACGTTCAAATCTTTCTATAGTAAGAGACTGTACGATGCATCTATTTTCGTGAAGGATTTTAATAGTTACTACGTTACGTTAAAAATAAATCGTATAGCGTTCGAGACATGCGATGCTACTTGTGCAAGAGGAAATCAAATTCAGATTATATTGGAGTAATACTTTATGTCAGAGAAGAGACAGGTCACACGATGAAAAGTGAAACACCCCAGCCATCTTGATAAAATGCGTTGTCGATCTATTTTGGTTTTAGACATTCGTAAATTCATAGACTGATACCGAAACGCGATTATCCCCTTCGTCAATTTGTTAACAGTGGTTCGTTTATCCACCACTTAACGTTCAGATTTAGCTGTTTTAGAAAAATTATAGATAGAAGTTGAAGCCACGATCTTGAATTATTGTTACCTTTGAACCAACGAGCGCGTCAATGTATTAACATCTTATACAATGCTATCGTTACTTTTATACGCTCTTACCATTGGCCGCGTTAAATTTAGTGTGTTAATTATCAACATTTTAATATTGACATAGTTATGTGCAATATTAGACCACGTTCTCATTTCGCCGTTGCAACATGCGGTTAGTTTAATCAAACGGAGTGCGGAAATGCGTAAATCTAGGACGTCAATTACTTTTGTTTAGTAAACGAATGCTTTTGCGTGTGTGAGATATAAAATGCCAATTCCACGAATGACTACTGCATTCCCAAGGACCGCTTGCCTGCGATGAGTGGCGAAATTACCACTTATGTGTCCCGAACCGTCGCAGCTCGCTACGGGGCAATGTATCAGCTCTCTCGTCTCTCGCACGCGGTAACCCAGTTTCCCATAAAACTCGTCCCGATGACAGCTATATCAATAACAATTACTCTATGATCACTATTTAGGAAATGCTCCACCAAACGCGCAACTGGCAACCGCATATATTTAACAATGATTTACGTAAAAAATTACCATTACCCACTAACCTTATATCTTTAAAGTTTGCGCAAAGTAATCGCGTACTTGTTTACGTGAAGTCTTAAATATGTATGTCAGTTGTATTATTGTTTATCTCTCCGGGGAACAAAAATGTTAAAGATAGATTAATAAAACATAGTTAGTGTGAAACAATTTTACCTGCTCCTTCTCATGTTTTTGTGGCCGAACATATATCTTATCTTTGTAATTATTTTATCGTGCACGTCCGTTGCGCGCGGCGTATACGCGCTGCGCGGGCGCCGGTATATTTAGACTGATCCGTCAAGTGTGTCTTACCGCCTATTCGAAATTCCGTGTGACGTTTCAAGTGTGTTACTATTATCTGCTACTTTTATTCGATCGTTTAGTGTATGTTTAATTATCTGTACAACATTATGTCGTTATGACTTAAGATGTTAAATCTGTATTTTAAATATCATTTCTAGTTAAAATAATTTTTTAAAACGAAATAGAACAATTTGTACAATTGTTAATTTCTAATGAACTTAATAGACAAATTAAGCAAAAAATCTTCAGTGTAAAAGACATTGATTGCCTTCGTATAAATTAATTATTGCTTTAGCGGTTATATTTTAAATTCACCGTATACATTGTAAACTCGTAGTTAGAGGGAGGTAAGAGAAGAATGACGTCATAAATTCACAAGGTCAAAACATGATAACAAGACAGTTACACTGAATCAACAATACGATGTCGACTCATTTATTTCTACCATATTTTAAGTATAATCCGGTTAACATGATTTACAATAGAAGTCTATTACTTGTAATTTTTAACTTATTACTAACATATTTTTTAAATAATCAGAATAAATCAATAAGTAACAAGACTTGTAAAGTGAAAATTGAAGTGTATGTTTTTAACAACGTTATATTTTTTATTTTCTATTTGTTTAAACAGTGTTAACGGATCAATACGCAAATTGTATTAGTTAACTTATGTTTAATATTTATCTAAGTTTTCGAATGCTTTGTAGCATCTTTGGTCTTGGGGTTGGATTGACAAACAGCTCTTTCCAATATTAATAAAATAATTTGAGTAAGGTTGAAAAAAATTGCAATTAAAATATTTCCTGTTTATGTTTATTATTTAGTTTAAGAGTTAGTAATAAATGTCCAGCATTTATATTAGCTGTTAAACGAATTGCTAAAGTTCCTGGATGAATTATATTTAGCTTCGAAACCTTGTTTAAATCGTGAAAAGACTTGTGAAGTTCAAATAAAAAAGGGCTTAGTCTTTTGTTAATAAGTTTACAGGGAGATAATATTCACCTGCTATCCTTAGGTTTGTCATGCGGTGCGTGAGGTGGAGGCATGTAGCAGGGCGGCGAGTAGGGCGGCGCGTGCGGCGGATAGGCGGGCGGGGGCGGATAGGCTCCGCATTGGTATTGGTATCCACCGTAACCAGCGGCCGCTGCAGCCGCCGCGTAGTCCGGTTGGCCTAGCCCGTAGCCAGCTACTGGATGTGGACTAACACCTCCATAACCTAGTATTATCGATGGAAATACAATAAGATTTGTGAAACCGATCATAGGGTATAAAAAACACCGAGTTACAGCTCGTGGGTTCGATCACCATCGGTCCAACATTTTTCTAATCAATTTATATATTTTCTGAAAAATCTTGGACTTCGTATGAAAATCTGAATATCGAAATGCCGTCTCGGTCGCGAACCAAAGTCCACTGATGGAAAAGCCGTCTAGTTTAATCGCCTTTCGATCTTAGTCTGTGGATTTTCGAATATTCAAAGCCAAAGTAGGTCGACCGAGCATCTTGTTTAGATTTTATGTGGCTGGGCATAAAACAGAATACCAGTATTTGGGTTTAAGTCTGTTTAGGTATGTAAGTTGTGTTACGATATGAAAAAGACGACAAAAATAATATCAAGAATCTTTCTGTAGACCACTAGGCAAACACTTCAGGCGGTCCGTTTAAAAAAAAAAACTGTATCCCAACCAGTTAACCATTGAGCTTCGTTAGCGATAGAAAGAAAAGATATTTAATAAAATTACTTTGTGGTTGACCTTTTTTACCTCTAAATGTGTATGTACTTTATCTTTTATATTTATGTTATAATCCATACCATGTATATTCATAGAATGGTAATTTCAGTAGACTTTAATTAACATATCATGTAGATAGTATAATTATATTAGTTTACCCGCAAGGATTTGAAAGACATTCTCTTTTTGTCACTAGAACTTATGCACAATTAACTTAGGCCAAAACGAATTTGTACCATTATTTATGTAACAGATATGTTAACAATTTTCGGTCACTGTGCTCTTAAATAAAATTTATTAGACTAAATATAAGGAACTTAGGTCGTAAAGTTACAGTTAGACTACTCTGCCACTAGCGGCCTTATAATAAATAAATAGATTTAATTAAAACACTTTTGCTTATTAAAAATGCGAAATATATAGTTTACTTCGAAAACACGACTGCAAAATTTCATCGGGTAAATAAGTTAATATATTTCGCGTTTTAATCCAACAAAAGTATTTTATTTTAATTTGTAATGTCATGTAAACTACATACAAATATATAGATCAAAAATTCGACAAGTAACTATGTCGACGTAAATATTTTCCATTTTTGAGAATCGCACCCCTGCTCGACGGAATTAGCAATGTGCTTCGTACGTGTTGTGGCGAGCGACGCGAAGGGTACAAACAGGGAATGTTTTAATGCTGTATTTTACGACTCTCCAGGCGAACTCTACAAGGCCTTAATTCTTGTGATAATATTTGTTTTGTGTCTGTCGTTTTAATTAAATAAGTTCTGCATGCTTTCAAGAGCGAAGCCAACCTTCGGTATATGTTCCAAATTCAAATTTTCAACTTACAGTGTAGACAAACAACTTTATTCTATATGTGAAAAAAAGAAGACAACTAAAGAGGTTTTTATACAAAAAAGGGACCCTATACTTCGTGTCGTCAGGCATAAGTTTTACGATAGCTAAACATATGTATGCAACTATAGCAACAAATACTATAAACAAGACAAAATATATGGTAACATGAATTAACTGAAAGAAATGGTTACAATGTGGAATTACTATAACTTGTCAAAGCGACGGAAACCTTCGTTCTCGAGTCCGGCTTGCTTTAATCGATGTTTTAGATAGTAAAAAATAGCGAGATTGCTAGTGAAAAATTTGAAGCCTAAACTAACCTGCCGTATCTCGATGATAAGCTTCTAAATATGGATGGCTTCCCCCACTATCAGGCGTTGATTCTCGGCTATACGACACGCCACCGGGAAAAGCTCTGCTGTGAACAAAAACAGGTTATAAATATTGTTTATATATTTTATATAAAAGCCTATCGAATAAAGTCTCACCTATGTGGTAAACGGGTGACGCTAAGGTCGAGGGTCTGGCCCTGCGGACTGGGCACCTGGGGGCTGGCGGTGAGCTGAGGCGAGGCCCCCGGCTGCGGACTGCCTCGGGCTCCACCGGCGCTCGTGTATACCGGCGACGCGTATGGACCCTGTCGTGATAAGCGATTGGATACTGTCTCAAATAAAAGCCGGGTGTAGTGTCACGCGTTACGCTTACCATTATAGAAATGTAATTAATATTTTGGTCTTTTTCACACGCTGGCATTTTGTCATTAACGGTTTGCGCATTGACTTTTTTTGTAACACTCTTTCTGTTAAATTTTTTGGAACGACTGTACATGGAAGAGATAAAGTAATGGTAAGAATAATTTAACTTGCGTAACGTGTAACGCTGTACGCGGCCAACGCGTTTATAAGAGAGCCTTAAGTCAATGGACAGTTAAGCGAGAGGTTTGAATAACTTTTAAGCAAATAAGTTTAGGTGGGGAGTTAAACCCATTTGTTGTTTGATGTCGTAAAAGTCTGTCGCGCTCACCTGGGGACTGCCACTAGACGAGGATAGGTCAATAGCCGGACGAGGATCGCGAGGATCTCTGGGTGTCGGGGTGCGCGGGCGCTGCGCCTGCGCCGCGGCTATCTTCACGGAGAGATTGATCGCGGAGAAGCCGGGCGGGACGCCCGGGGCCATCGCTCCCACCCCGCCCACTACCCCGCCACCAGCCTCGTAGTGGTACATTGGTCTGGATGGATACGCAATTTGCTTAAAGGCGCAATTCAAAAATTCAGACTACCAACCAATAAAAAAATCTATAGTTTAGCAACTTCTAAGCTAAGTATTGCTAGTTTCACCGCGTCTGGTGAGTTAAGAGACCCGTTTACCACACATGAGACGTCTAATAATGAGGAACCTACCTAGGATAAATGGGACCGGAGTTGGTTTCCTGTTCTGACTGGTCGGTTTTCATAGGCGTCGGTAGGTGTGGATCGTGGTAGCGCTCTTCGTCCCAGCTGTAAGGTCGTTGGGGACATTGGGCGGGGTCGTAGCGTTCAAACGCCGTTGCACCTTCGTAACATCTCGCTTCGTAACCGTATCGCGTTTCGTTCATTTGGCTACACGACAATATGTAGGGGTTAGCATATTTCATTAGTAATTTGAGGATACTTTCGCATTTGAAACATCTCATGCATACTGCAAAGTTGCAGTATATTATTTTTAATTTTAGTTTCTGCGGATTTGGGTAAAATAATTCAAATTTAAGATTTAAAAATTATAAAAAGCTTAGCAGTAGCTCGAAATCTAGATTATTAAAAAAAAAGTAAAAAGTAACGTGAATCTATTAAATCATGTTTTAATTAAAATAGTAGTGCATACTAAGTTTTAAGTCAGTCAATAATTTTACTAAGTCTGTTTAGGTGTAAAATATTAACTCGCTATTAAAATAAATATGTAGGCTTTTAAAATACATAATTCTAACGTTCCTTTAAAAAAAACTTTAAGTTAAATAATTTTCTATTTGGTCCAAAACAAATTTACCTATATGACCGTACGTGGTCGTCTGGCGGTCGCTCGTAGGGCGATCTCTGGTCTGGCGGCGCGCCGTAGCCGGCGTGGCGCGTCTCCATGGTGGGAGAGTCGCGCTCTGGCTCGGCCGCCTCCCTCTTCGGCACCAGCAGCTCGGGGGCTTCCCGCTTCACGGCTGGACTACGCGGCGACGCCGCTACCTCCGCTTCGCGTTTTTGGAGCGTATTTGCGGTTTCGCTTGGCGTGCTCACGGTCGGTGCGGTTGCTATGGAGACTATTGGCGCTGATAATACTGTGTAAAGCAAATTATATTGCGTTTTTTATTATATTTTAACGACACGGGCAACACTTGGACCGGCATCAACAGCGTTCCGTGCTGTTGCTCTAACCAATTGAGCTACCGAGTCCTACACGTCATCGTCGAATTTTTTCAACCTATTGATACATGCTCTCCTAGCGCAATGTAAAATCTTTAAATTCTACGATACAAATGATTATTATACTTTAATAATACAATAATGACAGTAAAGCAGGCAACAGCTCGAACAATCAAGTGTATTATTTTTTCTTTATTTCCTTCAACCTAGATCAAAATATTCGCAGGCACATGATCTCCTGTAATCCCTTACTCTTAGCGTATATATAAAATAACTATAAGGCATCAAGCAACAATAAAAGGCTAATCGTTTTTTTCATAGTGAATTGTTAAATTTAAGCGAATATATTGTCTTTGATTCCGTCGAAAAAAAATCAAAATATCTGTATTAATTTACCTATAGGACGAGCCCGTTGCGTTCTAGCAGCAGCTTTCCTCGCTGCTGCAGTAGGACAGCCTGACAGAGACCTGTGAGTGCTGCGATTTGAGCTCACGTGGCCTCGTCCGTTGCATCCAGGTGTCGGGCACTTTAGGATTGTTTCGTGCAAAGCCAGGACTAAAGAACATTTGAAAATCATTAAATACTATTTTTTTTTGCTACCAATTAAGTATCTACTGTTTGATGAGTGTATATTAGTGATGCAACGGTTAGTTGCTTGGCCGGATACCGAATATTCGGCCTCCTCAACAGCCAAATATCTGGCATCCGGCCACCGAATATTCGGTCGGCCAAAGAACTAGACAAATGTTGGGCCTAAAAATGAGTTGTAGCGAAGAGGATTCAAATACATAGTAGTAGTGAAGGTGATTCGCCTCCAATGTAAAGAAATGCAGATAATGGCGCAATTACTGTTCATGAAATTTTGTTCATTTGGTAACAATCATTTTATTTATTAAAAAATTAACATACAGTTCGCTACGATTAGTTGCTCTTAGGATTTTCTTAAGGACTTTTTGAGCTTTTTATTAAGTTTAAGCTGTACGTTATAGGTGATACTAGTAAACGAATATTGATAATCTGTTGTTGTTTCCTTGTATACTAACTAATAATTTTTCAAAGTTAATATATGAATACCAAACAAAATCACTATTCGGTATCCGGCCGGATAGTGCGCAACTATCCGGTATTCGGCCGGATAGTAAAATAATGGCCGGATAGGCCGGATACCGGATAGCAACCGAATATCCGTTGCATCTCTAATATTAATTGACTAGTGAAACAAACGGGTACTTATAACGAAGATGCTAAATAGAATTATTTTTAAAACCAAGTATAAAAACATCTTGCTAGCATTATAAACAAAATATTTCTAATAAATAAGACTAGACAGATATAATACATAGTATAGATCTAGATTTAAGTAGAACTAAAATATATCATTTATAGTAAAACATATGTGAATGAAAGCGAATCAGATATTACTCACTCTCTGGTGTAACTTTATCCTTTCTTGGACATCCTGATAGACTGATGGACAAATAATTATAGCCTTTAGTTGTTTACTAAGTAAGCATACATATCGATACACCTAACTTTTCGTCTTTGTCGTCAAATGAGGTGTAGACACAGTTTGAAGAATCGTTACTATCTTGGATAGTACTCAAAAATACTTATTCAAGGCATCGTTTCCAAATACTTATGATCTTTATAAGTAAGAAGATGTTTAAGTAAAGTAGAGCAGAGACATTAATAAAAAAAGGAGTAATGATTAAATATTTTCTGTAGTTATTGGGATTAGAATATTTTTTTTTACTGTTTAAAACGCGACATATACTAGTTTTAACTACGGCCCGACGTTTGAAATTAATGAAACCCTAAGTTATCAGTCACCTCGTGACTATGGCTGTTATGAACCTAATTGAACTTTGGGTCGTAGTTGAAATAGTTAAAACAGAGTGATTTCGTGTTTTAAGCCGTTAAGAGTATTTTATTTAACTGAAGACGCAATTGTTTTGAATAAATAAATCTAGTACTTTTTGATAGCTAATGATTTCTCCTATCACCTCTTTCAAGTACACATTATAAGGTAACATACATTATAAGTAAACCAGTATAAGTGCTGACGTAGAAGCTTATACTTTATTGCTCAGAATCTGAAATTCGAGAAACCAACCTTCTGTGATGCGAATAGAGGCCGGTGACGTGGCCCTGCCCATTGCAACCAGGCGTTGGACACTTGTTGCCTTCTGTGGACAAATCGATGACAGCAAATTATTATTTTGTTAATCATCAAGCGGAGGCGTGGGCGAGCGATCGATAACGCCGGGCGTGTCACTGGGCGTACCTGCGCAGTGCCGCCCATCCGAACCGAACCCATCCCCTTTGCCAACTTAAAAGAAAAAATAAAGAACGCCAGGCGACTGCGCGGACCGACAAACAATTTTTCTTTAACGTAAAAGCGGGGCGGTACGACGACGCCCCGCCCACCGCTCTGACCCGTTTTTATTGCACGTAAAGTGGAATTACTACGAAATCCTTATATACATATTACAGCGAAATAGGTAGGTAATGTAGTCAACATCAAATATCTAAATAATAACGAGGCACCCAGTTAGCACACAATAACTAGATTTTCTGAAGTCTGTTACTAACATAGAGATACGAAATTCGATCGTTGAACCGATGGCTTTATAAGCGTCGTGACTTTGAAACAAACTTCTTCAAAGTTGTGTCGTTAGGAAGTTCGGTAATGGTTGATGTGGAAGTACCTCTGGAGGCCGGCGGAGAGAGTGCGTTCAGGGGTTGTGAATCCCGGGTGGGCTGCGCGGACGGTACAGCACGCGCTTCGTGCAGCGCTGTGGCAGCGCGTGATCCCAACCCCGCTGGCTGCAAGATCGTGTATTGCTTTGAAACCTTAGAACTCTTCTCGTGCTCGTTCGAGTAACCGCCGAAAGGTTCGCTCGGAAATGAAGTAGTAGGTATCTTATGCTTCACTTCAGCGGGCGGTTTGAATGCCGATTGAGTAGAATACGGTAGCGCAGCGGTAGCCGCCTTATAAACGTTGTAAAGTGTCTGCTTATTGACAGACATTATTTCTTTTCGCTTCGCCTTCGAATCTCTATCCTCATCGTATCTCTCGTCATTTCTATCGGATATATCGATTTCGAGTTCATTGGACGAGGAGTCTGCGAGATCGTCAAAGTTTCCATCATAATTGTTTGAGATTTTACTATCTCTGTGACCTTCGTCGTTACTGTCTGGCTCCGTTTTCTCTATAACAATATTAGTCGTTTCGATGGTCCCGCTATCGTGCTCATTAATTTCTTGTTCTCTAACTTGGTGATGCAGGGAGAAACTTCTCTGCGAACCGTCTGCGCTGTCCGAAGATTGAGACGGTGAGGATGGCAGCATTTTATCTGATCGTTTGTCATTGAACAGGTTGTCGAAGTCGTTGTTATCTTCGTTATCGTCCGAGTGAACTGAATGTTCGTCACGTGACCAATTATTTGATAGAGACTTCAGAGTTACTTGTGTCCTTTGCAGATAACCTGTATTCTCCTCGTTGGATTGGTGTGGATGTGCGTATCGACTCCGTTGATCATCATCGAGTCTCTCGTCATCTAGCAGTCGCCGTCGTCGTTTGCCACCCGTCTCCTCATCCATGGATTCTTCGAAGCTACCCTGGCTGTGTTGTCTCTCGATAATTCTGAAAGCTTCTACATCTACTCCGAAATCGAATCTTCGTTTGTTTATCGGCGGCAGCGTCGAGTAGGTGTTCATTGGCGACGTCCTGTAACAAATCCGGGCGTTAGATGAAACGGCGATAGTCCAATATCAACGGTCATATAAAGATAATAGTGAAAACGTACTTGCGTTTCGATTTTCCATCCACAATCAGAATTTTTACGCGGAAATGATTCTCGGCGTTCCCGATGGACGTAAACACAAAAGTCACTTGATTATTACTTGTTTGCACAAAAATCGTTCCCACGTAAAAACCATTTCACTCAAGAGCTTTCAGACCAATTATAATTTGAATTAGCATTAATGGGTTCTAGGAAGTTCATGTAAAATAAGAAGGGTCATCTTGCGACGAGATTCGAATACCTAGATAGAAATAAAGTCTTATAATGTTTTACAATGTAATTTATTATGCCGTACCACGCTGTGAATATTGCGAAATAAATTCGCCAACGAATGTACCCTTTGAAAAGTTTCGCAAAAGTTTTTGACTTAAGTTTGTGTGACGTACGTGATTTTTGTCATTGAAGTATTTTATCATAAAGAGAATGGTAAAGAGATTCACTATATTCGAAACGCAGTTTAATTTATAATATTTTTTTATGTTTAAAATTATTATTTATTAAAAGTGATTGAAACACGTGTCTAGATATACTGTTTAATTAGACAGGTAACATTATATATCTGTTTAGTTTGATAAACGCATGTGAAAACAATAAAATATAACGGTAAAATTATTATTTCCACATGTTATTGCACTAGGTAACTGGTAATAATCAATGTAGTATTGTCTGTTTACGCGAATAGAAACTCTTAAACTTAAATGTGTACTACTCGCGTAAACTATAGACAGTATTCATTTTAGTCCAATCAAGACCGACCGCGAGAATATCTCAGTGAAATTCGCGTTTTAATATCTTAAAAGTGTTCTATTCAAATAATCAATTCGAAAAACTATTTCTCCATTCATTTAATAAAGATAGTTTCGCCGATACTACCCGGCAAGTCGGAACACTGATTATGGTACAAACATTTACGTACGTGACGCACCCCGAAGGCAATACCGATGTAAGCCGAGATTACACGAAACGTGGCCAGTTTTCCAATGCCCCCAAAGGGTTGTAACGTGCGACTGTACGTTTGCGAAAAGCGTTCGTGTGTTAGCGTAGAGTAATTAGATAAACTCCGAGGGTGGTTTGAACCGGTTCAAACTAGTACTGGCGACCTTTATCAACGGGTGGCGAGTGGCGGGTTATCTCGGGGCCGCGTTAATTGTAATGCCTGGAGATTAAGGCACAATATAAGACCCACCGCGCTATATTGCGGAACGCTCTCGGATTACGCCAAGACACTAGATATGGGGGCTTATGTGGAGGCGTTATTGCGAATTTAAAGTCGAAATTCACCAAGGTCTATTCTTGTATATGTGCGGAAAATATAAATGAAAAACACTTAAATTTCGCAACCTTATTGGGTACAAGTATGCCAAATTTACTATAGTTATAAAAATATAAAGAAATAACTGGTATTTTATACGAGTAGTAATTATTATTGCAAAAGTTTCCTAAACTTGTGTAATATCGTCAGGTTCTTTTCGCGAAAATTTTCACTTAAATATGTAGTACAGTACATTTCTTGAGTATTTCTTCAATAAAATTTATTGTAAATTTTCTATTAAGTAACTCGAATAAAAAAAAAAGTTTCAAATCTTTTTAAAATATAAGATGTGTAAGTTATAATTTGAACCACGTGGAATATATACATATTTTGGGCATCACATTATTTTCAGCTTTAAATTAAAGCTGTTTGTTACCCACGAAGTCGTCCGCGTTCCGCCGTTCTTGCGAATTAATCTTAGATAGACAAATACTGTCGCGGACATTTTTTATATCATTTAACGAAGAATCATTCTCCCGCACTGATGAATAATTTTCCTCATCTTTACAACACTCTCCACTGTTTATTCGCTCCTATTCGTCGCAGACTGATGTTTGATGCTGACTCTATAAGTGGCCCAACCCAACTCCAAAATTTATTTTTTAGTTCGTTCCTGGGATTAAGGCGTTTGAAAAATAAACTAGTTTTATGATAGTATAGATTCTATAATTTAGTGCAATTCCGCGAAACTCCGTAATAATTCGAGCGAAATAGAAAGGTGAGCGTTTACGAGTTACGACCCTTTCTCGCCCTTGGTAATAACAAACACGCGGCCTCCCGTGGGTCCCCAGAGCGAGTCTTAAATTCAAATTGCACCTTAGAATTCTTAATTATTGAAATCATAAATCAAAATGTGCCGTCTGGGCGCGCGACCATAAAATCGAGGGAGAAATCTCGAGTGTGGTAGGATTAAGACATTATCACTTTTCTTTCGAGCAGTAGCGCCCTCGTTGGCTCGGCTCGACTGTAAATCAGTGGCTAAATCCACCGGATTAGATTCATAGAGTTGCCGCGGCCTGCGGGTCGTGAGGCCGCGATAATGGCGTCGTGTGCTCGCGTGATTTTGCTTTTAAATCGACTCCCGCTCCGAGATAAATACGCTTCCAATTTAGTTGGATCTCGAAATAGCGTTCTCAGTTTAAATGGATTTGCTAAGTTTGAATTTATAGCTTAAGACACTTGGCTGATAAGTGGACCTTGTTAGACACGATCTGGTGTATTGTTATCACAGAGTCACTTTTAATATCAAGCAACACAGTTGATAGTGTTTTCTAGATCTGGCAACACTCAAGAAAAGCTTAAGTTTAGGATTATTTTATGTTTATTTATGTACTAAATTGTTAATGTAATCGCATATTTTTCCTTCCCTTGTTGACTTTTACTGAAATTTTAATTGTTTGTCGCCTGGAAGATATCGCTACTCGAAAAGTCCGCCTTGGCTCATTTTATTTTTGATAATATATTCAAGTGTCTGTGATCTAGTATTGTTTAGTTTACGCGAGTACTAATTAAAAATAATCCGGTTGCTGTAAAGCATTCAAAACATCGGGCCGTAGTTAACTCATATATTTGCGTGTTAAACGGTGAAATATTTTATTTAAATTTATGTGATCTTATTTGTAATTTTGAATAGAGTGTTAATATTGTAAATAATAAATATTAAATGAAACTTTTGTAACCAATAGCATTGTACCATAGAATCACCACAATGAGGCAATATTTTGTGATAAAAATAAAATATCTTGACATTTAACTCGTCGATTTTGCTTGGGCAATCAGGAATCCTTACAAATTCGAATTTTCATAACAATTTCACAAATTTTCTCACAATAACGGTATTTTTAGATTTTTACGTTATTGTTCCACGAAGTCGTGTTTCGTAAGAATCTTTCGAAATTGTTTTCTTCTGTTGTTTTCAGCGTAATCTATGTATTGTTATTTTGTTTGTATTTTTATCCCCTCACAGAATAGGTAAGAAATTAAGAACTCACTTATAGTATGGTAGGCTGAGGCAGGTTTGATTTATGTACAACCGTATTTTTTTACTAAAAAACTGTTTAGAACACAGTTTATTATTTAACATAATTAATAACACCTATTGTTACGTTTGTTTGTTCTTAAACTAAACATTACATAAAAATAAAAATAAACATATAAGAATTTAAACAGAAACTAATTTTGATTAGACATTAAGAGATCAGATCGAATTTTCACTGTCAAATTTTAATGACAAGTATTAGCTATTTGTATTTATTATATTTACACTGCTTTGATTTAGTCTATGGTTTGGGTGAAATTCTTAGGTTGTCGATGCTAAAATAAACTTAATTTAATTTACTTTTGGTACGATGTTTTCATAAATGAACAGTGTTAATTTAAACACACAATTACTATTATTATCGCAAGGAATTATAATTAATTCAATATATATCTTTTTATAAAATTAATTTTGCATAGGAGCACGCGCTTGTATTATCATGACATCAAAAAAATTTGTAATCTAATACATGTTTAAGTATCTTCTGTAATTTACGAGAGTAGTATACATAAAAATATACTCCTAACTATTTAAAATGCGAAATATATTAAAGTTAACTTAATTTTTTATTGTTTAACACATTAAAATACGATATAAGTCAAATTGTTAAAAACCCAAGTAACACTCTCTATAATATCTAATATTAAAAAAAAATGGAGCAATAGTCTGACAAATAAATTATTATTATCCCTGGCTTATTTAACAAAAAGCGTTTTATTATAAGACATCGGATAAAAATGACTATTATAAAAAATAAGATGTCTAAAACCCAAAGCAAAAAACCTTTAAAGTAAAGTTTGTTTATCTATTTCCATAGTAACAAAACACCATATGATCGTGAAAATCAATATCGCAATAGTTTATCTGGGTTTATATAAATGGGGTAATGGTATCGAGCGCTGCAGTGTACTCCTCGTCACTACGAGCCTTACCCTTGCATAGCGTTAGGGTCCGTAGGGCTGCCTCTTTGAAATTACATTACATTATTTCTGCCTTTTTCTGTCAACTTATTCGCTAGCGATACTACTATTTATGATAATAACCTAGTAGAGTTAAAAACTCAAAATTGTATGATTTTATTAGATTTTTTGGTTAAGCTAGTGTTTGTCACGATATTTTATGTTATGGCAAACTGAGTTCAAATATTTTGTGGTAAGCCCATGGTCTCGTCTCATGATGACTTAAATAATCTTTAAATTTTATATACGTACGGACAATTTATATGCCTTCTAAAACAACGCTGAATTAAACATAATTGACGCCATTAGAAAAGTGTATTCGTGATATAAGAACACTAGCTGTGCCAGCGACTTCGTCCGCAAGAATCGCCCCCAAACCCCTTCATCTTTATAAACTTAAGCTGTTACCCACGACGTCGGTTCCGTCCCTTCCCGTCATTCTTGCAAGGTAATCTTAAAAGATAGACATATAGCATCGCGGACTTTTCAAATATTTTTTATACATATTTTTCGGATATCTTGAACCGTTTTGGCAGCGTACGCCTCAGAAATCCATATTGATAAATATGTTTTTCCCCATTTTTTTCACATTTGTCGCTGTATCTTCGCTTGTATTCGTCACAGGGCAATGTTTTAATTCTCATTGTTCTAACATTTTGAAGATTTATCCTATTACTTCAATAAAATTAGTATATATTAGTATAGATTTTAACAATTACCTTTATATTTAATACACGTCATACGTATTTACTTAATTTTTATAAATCGTTTGCTTTATAAAAAACAGTGCTAATTATTAATAATTGTCAAAACATTATAATTTCGTATTCTGTTATTTTATTTACGTTGTTTTTTTGCTATGTGGTATCCTTTTTTATAATTAAATAAGTGGGAGCTAAGACTTTGACATTAGGGACATATTATCATCAGTCGCACCGTGAGTACTGCTGCCGCCGATCGGAAACGTGCTACTGTAGGTCAAATAAATTGAAAACACGTTTACTATTATAATTTGTATTTTAAACCGTTAAAAGTACTATGGTAATGCAAAATAATCAAATGACTTAAATTCATGAAACAAATATCATTTATATATTATAATATTTGTTATCTGTGTAATCTATTGTGAATCGCAACCCTAGACGTGTAAGACGCAATTGTAGCGAGGGTTATATTGCGTACCGACCCTCCGTATTCGCTTTTTGTTTTCTGTGTTTTAGTTCGAACTCATTGAACCAATATTATTATTTTTATAACAGAATAGAAAAACTATTTAAACTAGTCCTAGTTAATTATGTTGCTTTAAAAAGTCTAATATAATACCCACATAGGATCGGAAATAAAGCTCCTTAAATACACAGAGAACGAAATTTGACATGTATTATTTTTGATTATTTTCATTAATAATATATACGTATTTTGGCTATATTTGGCAAAAAATTATGTGTTTATTATAATAACAACGTTTTAAGTTTTGTTTTGTTACCTTGGTCTTTTTCGTTAAAACCTAGTCATTATCTACTTCAATTACCTACACATACAACTTTATTACGTATGAATGTACATATATAAGTTAAAATTATTTAAACTACGGCCCGACGTTTAGAGTTTTTAGCAGCAACCGTGATCTCGGGGAGACTAGAAATAAGTTTAACTTATTATTGTTATGTATATCACGTATTAAACCGCTAAAGTGTTTTATTTAAATGTATACTACTCGCGTAAACTAGACAGTGTTTAATAATTATATTAGTATTAATCGAATTGAGAAATTTGATAACGATTTACTTAACGCGTTAGATCAGTGCGTAGACACACCGTACGCTGTCAGTATTGCGTTCGTATCTGTATCGACAGTACTTTAATATAAAATAAGCTGTAACAATCGAGGTTGTTACACGAAACTCTCTTTAACATTACGCTTTGTTTTACATTTCCATGTAAAGCAACAAGCAAATCACAATTAGAGTGGGACGGCCGCCCATCAGATAGCTTCAGCGGTTTCAGTTGAAACAATTTGAGGCCGTTATCTCGATGGGCTCGAGGCGTCACACGTGAAATCCGTTTAGCAACCCTACCTGAATTAAACGGTTACGCTCTGTAAACCGAAATAACTGCTACCTATTAACTCAAGTAATTATTATTAAATGGTTAATTGGCTTTTATTTTGAAATACTTGTAACTCTTTATTGAACAGTAGAATACAGAGTTACTCGTAAAATAGTTGTTAATGGGATACGTCATAAATGAAAATAGAAAATTATTAGTTTTCTTAAATATAATTTTAATGTTAGTAAGGTGTAACTATGAACGATAAATAATTTTGTTTCAGATGTATGGGTTTTTTTTATTTATTTAAAATTTCATTTTTCTTAAACATATTATTAGCTATTTTTTATAACATTTTTAAAACTTTGTATATTAATACAAGGCATAAGTAGATTTGGGCAATGAGTTTAAGGTTATATGATAATATAATTTTAAGTTTTCTCATAAAAAGTATGCACAAAAAACCTTAATAAATATTTCTTTTTTTTGTCATAAAGTATCTATCATTGCTATTTTGAAATATCTAAGCTTGAAATATGTAAGCTTTATTTAAAATATTAAGATTTCTTAAAATAAATAACACTTAAGATAAAAAATAAAAGTGTTTGAAGACATCTATTCCGTGTTCCTTAGATGCACCTGAATATAATTTGTCCGTTAGTTTTATAAAGAAGTAAAGGATATTTAAATTTTTTATATACGTAACACGTTCGTATTAGATGTTACAGTTGCAATTAATAAGATTTACGCCTTATTTATTAGACCGTGTAAATTATTATTAATATAGTGATAGTAAAGAAAGTTTGTGTTTGTTCTATAGACGTGAAATATATTTGTACCAAAAAACTATTCATATTTGATTGTAAATAACTTATATTATCATATAACGTGTGTTATACATTATTATTACAAAGTAAATTATTTATTATAGCTATAAAAAGGCTATAAATTCAGTTTTATTGGTATTAAGCTTAAGAAAGAAAATTTAGTTAGCATTCCTAGAATCTATACTATTTTAAGTAACTTGAAAACCGAATTGTTTATTTTTAACTAAGTTCGCCTACCTATAGAAATTAAAAGTAGTCTGTTACTGACTAAGACACAAGAGAAAAGAGACTGCTATTAAACGAAAATAGGTGAAATTTACTATCCCTGAAAAATTACTTAAACTGCTTTCACATGTGTTCAATCTGTATTCTTTCCGCTACTTAATCATTAACGCGCTGAAGATTTACACAATTAACTCCATTACATGTCAATCGCGAACGAAGAAATTAATTTTGTCACTAAATCATTTAATAAGTGAATATTATTAAATGTTAAATAAAGGACTGTTCATTAATATTTTTATCGTGTTTTTGAAAGCATTCGTGAAATGGTTTTACTTGCGTGGGATTTGTGCGTGAACGATTCGATTAGTTTAATCTTCTTCACGTAAATTCGACGAAAACACTGAAAAAACTGCTGAAAAACCGCACTCTCCGTTAACTATTTAAAATCGCGTCCCAATGGGTTGAAAAATTGTGCTGACTTACCAAACAGGTCGGACGAGGGCCGACATCACTAATCGTAACGCACTAACATAACGCACAGTTAATAAAAGTTCACGGATTCACTGACACAGCACAGGGTTTTCGGCGCACAGCGAAAGTTTTGCCCGCGGTGCGTACGGTGGGTGCCGGAGAGATTTCCGAGACGGGCGGTAGTCGAGGCGCGGTTCGCGGACTATGCGGAGGCAGAGTGTGCCCGCCGAAGGACGAGACGGACGCAGGGATGCGCGCGCACGCCGCGCCCACTCCGCCCCGCCCCGCCCGCAACCTATTTATTTCTAGTTACGTAAAATTCACGCGCAATACACTATATGTACCTGCATTTTAACCTACTACTCAATATATATAAAACACGCCTCTCATGTATGTTATAAATCTGCCACGCCACTGCAAAGTACTGAGCAATCAACTTTCCAATCTTAACTTAAACACTAACTTAACCCCGGTAATGAAAGAACCGCGTTTTCATCAAACCAATCAGTGTTTTCACGTCGCGTCACACCGAGAGCCCTCGGCAGGTGAGGTGCAAAAAAAAGTCGCCTCCGGATATTGGGGCTCGATCGGTCGAGTTTTTCCGACCGTATTTGTGCTATCAGTGTCACTTAAATAAATTGAATGAGCATCCGAGGGAGCGCGGCCGATGTTCAATCGTTTTAACGCGTCCCGCTATGGTATGCTTTAATTTTTGACGCGTAAAACGCCACGAATATCCGCCCCTACGAGAAGTTTTCAAGCGCCCCTTATACTGATTAGGTTTTTAATTTTAATTATAAAATGTATCGTAAGCAGCGATCGATAGAAGTCAGAACGAATGACGTCACAATCAGCTGTTCCCGCCGCTAGCGCAACAGACAATACGATTAAGATCTACGCAGGACAACTTTCGCGCCGAGCGGCAGTTAGTTGTTATGAAAGAGAGAAATTTGTAAATTGTTGGCGCCCGAGTTCACGAACTCCGTCGAACCGGAGTTTGTTTTAAGAGTTCAACCTTGAAACAAGAAGAAAAGTAGTCCTGTAAAACAAAGTTTTGCGGCCGCCGTCGCCGGCGCAAGCGGTTCAAGGATTGTGCCCGAACTGTCTGTCTGTACAACTTTACCGATTAAAAGCTCAAAAGCTTCCAAAGTCATTTTAAAAGTTTATCTACACGCGGCGAGCGCGGCGGGAGTGTAGGCGCCTCGTTATCGGCCCGAGCGATACTTTGTTGAACCTAGTTTAACTTATTTATGAATCGGCCGCGGTCGTCGACCGTGCTTCCCGAATTGAACTGTCAAAGTTGCAAAGTAGTGATGGGCCGGAGATGCGTCGCCGACTCCCGACGACACGTGCTCGGCGCCGAATAGTTACGACGCACCCGCTAAGTTCCTAGACCCTTCTACTTTGTTTTACAGCTGTTCCACTTAGCGAACTATGCCTAGAGTTGTGCGCGAGTTCTTGCATGTATATCGGCACAACCGGATCCGAATAGTTTCATAAACATAACCCAACTTAGTTTTGGACAACTTTTCAAAGTCAATGCATACTAACTTTCGATGTCTGGGAGTACGATATTACGATTGGATCAGTTTTGCGGGTGATTTTAATGCATTCGTTTGTTGGAACTTTGTTTTATTGGATCAAAAGTTCGGAACAAGGTTAAGTGGCTTAATTTACTTTGTTCGGGTTTAGACTAACTAACTTTTAGGATTACTGGATCAATAGGCTTCGTTTTGTTGTATTTCTAATTGTATCAGTTCGTAATTTGTAAATAAGCTAACTAATACATTTCGCGTTTTGAACCGTTCAAAGTGTTTTATTAAAATGTCTACAATCGTGTTAACTACGGACGGTATTGTATCAGTTTGTTTAATTGGTACAAAGCTACATAAATAATCCAGATGGGATGTTAATTTTATGATACAAAATAGGCAGTAACATCCATAGTTTAATAAAAAAAAGAGGTTACAAAATAAAAGCCCATCAGACAGATTTAAATGAAACACGTATAACGGTTTAAAAAGTGAAATAGTTAATTTATTTACAATTTTACAAAAACAATACAAACAAATCAAAAACGTGTTAATCTACTCTGCTTTCTCCTTCTCTCTATTAATGGTGTATAATTAGTAAGTAAATTGGTATCCTATACTAAAACATTAGTTTCCAAAAAAACGCCATACCAATATACGAGATGACAACATGAGGTAGTTCTGTAAGAACGCACTTAGTTTATTCAAATACGAACTACGACGAAACAGATGGCGCTAGCGTCCATCTTTAGTGACTACGGCTACTGCAAAGCATTCTAAACGTCGTAAGTTAAACTAAATTTTAAATAAGTAAATTAATATATTTCTCGTTTTAAATCGTTTTTTTTGGAAGTGTATTTTATTAAGCGAAGTTAGATAAATCAAACGTGATCACGCGAGCTTCCGGTGGCATAGTGTTTCGCTGCAACGGGAACTGCAGACTTACCGCATAGTCCTTGAGTTACTTCATGATTAACCCTGGCTTTCGTGATTTCGCTGCAGCGGAATAATTATGGATAGATGATGCAGATAACATGCGATGTCATAATTATTAGACATTGGGATTTCGTATTTTTATGACAAAGCAGGGCAGACAAGCACGAAATTTGTGGTGAAATGTCAATATATGTTGTCGACCTATTTTGGTTTTTACATATATACAGATTAAACCTAAAACGTCATCGTACTTGACGGCATTTTCATCAGATGACGGTGGTTCGTGTCACCGATAATTAAGATTTTCCCACCACCAGTGTATCTAAGTTTTCCACATGAAGTTTAACGTGATTCTGGAAAATATTAATTGTTTTTAGACACTGGTTTGAATCGACCCTAAGACTTGTAAGTTGCTCATTTCTAACGTTACAACAAGAAGCCCGTTTAAAAATAACAACTAAATTAGTTTACTTAAAAAAAAACACTATTAACGGTTTAAAACGTGAAATATATACTTAAACTAATTTGAAAATTATTTTATCTACGGCCCGACATTCCGATGATTTGTAGTAGCCGTGGTCACGATTTACAGAAGATGGAGGGGTGTTCTTAATGTCAAAGTCAAATCTGCTACACTAGCGCCATCTATTTCATCGAAGTTGGTATTTAGAGAAACTTATAGATTTCACGTTATCAACCGTTAAAAGAGATTTATTTAATTGTGTATTAAGCGAACAGGTAAGAATAAAAGGGCAAATCTACACTTTATATAATTTATACTACTATTTAACGACTGTTAACTGATAAGTGTCTAATGCCTCAAAACGCATCTCCCCGAAGCAAGTTAATATTTCATAATAAGTATAATTACGAAAATCTCTTTCGAAAAGTCACGATTTAGCCAAGAACGTAGATAAAGCTGCAACAAGCCTTCCAGCTATACCGCCACCATTATATTAAGACCTACCCAGACACCCCTAATACTTGTTTAGTAAGGACTCGCGCGATATCACTTGATTGTAAGGTGGTGGTCTCCTATAAACGCAGTATAGCGCATCTCTTTCGTTGCGATAGAATATTTGCTGCGCATATTATATGTTTTTAGGCCTAGTCAATTCCTTATAAATAATTAAATATTTATAACATACGCACACAAATGTCACTGTTATTTTTGTGACAAAGAAAGCTACACAAGTATATGGTTTTAAAAACACTTTACCGCTACTTTAACAAAATTCCCCCTGAGCACGCAACGTATCCGAAACTTTGCATCGTAGTTAAAATATATTTCAAATAAGTTTAACTAATATATTTCGCGTTTTAAACCGTTAAAGGGTTTTATTTAAATGTGTACTGCTCGCTTAAACTACAAACAGTATTTAAGTATATGGTTAAATAAATATAAAAAATAGGTTAAAGAATCGGGCCCATCCCCTCTTTTCGTATAGTTTGAGCTTATATAAGTCTTGGCCTCCAAAATTGTAGATAGAAATACGAATTGTTAATTTAGAAACGTTAAAAAACTTTGTCCTTCTTTTCTTTTACTCTTCAGTTTCAAATATAAGACTAGAGGGGCCCTAAAGTTCCGAGGCCCTGGAACACTTTACCACCTGGCTCCACGACAGCTACGCCACTGTTATCTAAACAAGATGCGCTATTTACCTACTTTGATCTAGGCAGACATCTTTAGAATGTTAAGCAGCTTTATACGCGTTTATATCAGACAACAGCCTTAGAGAATACAGTAATTTTGTCGCGATTTATGCGTTATCTCCATTTGGCAATAAGTCACGCGGTAATTACCACGAAATCGCGTTCCCCCGCGCATTATTATGCAAGTTACATAAATAAATACCATATGCGACAATTATAGAGGGCGCTCGCGTTTACTTAAACTGTTTGAAATTGTGATAAGCATAATAAGGTTATGCAAATAATTCAAGGTGTAATTGGTCTGAAAGCTTGTTGCTAGTATACTTGAATTTATTATTCGGTCCTGGGTATGAATCCCGGAAAAAATAGTTTCGGTTAAGTAGGGTAATTCTTATTTTTTTATGATCGGGGAGGACAGACAAACAAGATGTGCGGTCGACCTATTTGGCTTTCTATAAATAAAGGAAATCCACAGACTGAAACAGAAATATGACCAAACTTCACGCCTTTTTCATCTATGGACGATGGTTCACCCGGGCGAATTTCGATATTCCTACCATCCATTTAATATTTAGATTTCTAGACGAAGTCCAACATGTCTTAGGAAAATTAGAAATTAATTACTAACATTTGGGACCCGGTGGGGATCGAATCCACGTCCCCTTGATTATTGGTCATAACATTGCCACCATTACAACATCAAGCCCGTGGATACGTCATTTACTTGACTAAACAAATTTGATCTAACTAGACACTGAAATATGTCAGAAAACTTTTTCTTACGTGGAAGATATTGATGTCGCTGGTCGAAATAGTTTGTGTATCACCACAGGTTCGTCTTGGTTCTGAAAGAAATTATTTAAATTAGTTTTTTATTTAATATTTAAGTCAGAAAATGTTACATATAGTTGAGTTAAAATAACGGCATTTATATTATTGGAGGTTGGAATGGAAAATTGGGGACACGTAACATGTTTTTACAGTAATGGGGTTTTAATTGACGTAAAATCGAAAACAAATTTATATAGCATGCGACACAGACTAATTATTAAGAGATACATAAATGTACAGATAATAGTAAAATTTTTATATAAAAGATTTTTTTTATTATATAAATTAAAGAATCTATTTAGAAAAAAATACGTCACGTAGTGGAACAGGACTTAAAACCTTCTGAACGAATGAGCCACAGTGTCTTAACCGTAGCCATGTGGATGCGAATTCAAGTCCCGTTCGTGTCAATTTTCAGTTTTAATAAATTTTATTTATTTATTTACACACACACACAAATATATGCTGCCATTACAGATATAATCCAATTCGACAGTAATACACGATATAAAAAAAAAACATGAAAACTAAGTTTTAATAATTATTTTCATTATTTCTAGTAGTAATTTCGTTAAGAACAATATTTGCTATTTCACTCCAAAACCCCGTGAAAATGTCAACCCTTTGGAGTATAATATTAACCACTAATTAATTAATTTAGTAATCTGTTTATTTAAAATTTTAAAAATATATTTATTTATAAAACATAATATTTGACTTATAAACTACTCATGTATATTTTATAAATGTCCCTTCACGTGTGTAAAATTTTTAAGTAATGTTTTAACCGTAGAACGTATTTTTTCAGTCATATAAAGTCTTAATTATAGTTTAAAATAAAGGTTATATATGTTTCACAATATTAAACATGTTTTCGTGAGGTGTGTTTCCACATCGTTTGAAACAGTAAAGCTAAGTGAAAAAGGGTATTTCGTAAATTTGATTTTAATATTGAGCACATAATGCTTGTTCGCGGACGGCCAGTAATTGATACAGTACTCTCAGACTCGTCTAATACCCGTAATTATTTTCCAATTTATCGGCTTCAGCTATAAAAGACGGATTAAAACATGCCTCCACTTGTAAGTTACATAACATGGGTACAGTTGATTATTATTTAATCGTTTCGTTAGTTAAGCCCGATTAAATAACGGAGTTACGAAGGTAATTTGGCTTTTGGAATTCTCTAATGTCAACACGGA